TCATCATGCCTCCACCTTGTCAAACTGCACGATGGTCTTGGCGGGCTGTCCCTCGTGCGCGATCCTACCAAGTGCAAGCGCGCGAGGGATGGGGTTGGGGGGGTGGGGGTGGTGGTGTCCTCATAGTCGTGCATGCCGTAGTCATTAGACCATTGACCTCGCATCCCTACAAAGCCGGGACGGAGCACGCCGGGTTCTCACCGGACCAGGCTCTCATATCACCAAGCGCGGATGGGGTGTGTGGGGGGAAAACTCATGTAACCGTCGTCGCTAGGCCATTGACCTCGAGTTCCTGCAATACCGGGCCGGAGCGATATTTTCGACATACACCATTGTTGTGAGACCATTGACCAGGCGTCCTCGAGAGGACGGATCACTGCTTGTTCCCACAGGACCAACCATCTTGGGGCATGCGTGTCAAGTGGAAACCCGGCACTAGCCAGAGGCGAAGTTGGGGGTTGGGGGAGAACAATCATCCTGACGCTTTGTGGAGACACATCGTTGGATTATTGAGAGAGGGGACCCCTGTGGGGTCATCGATCAGGCTGAGAGAGAGACCCCAACTCACCGGTAGATGGTTGTCAGGAGCGGGAACTTCCGGGCGCACTTCTTCTTCTTGATCACGCCGAACGCTTCGACCGCTGTGCTGGGCCCCTGCAGCTTCATGCCCCCCAATTCCTCCGCCTCCAGCTGCTCCCAAGAGCGCTTACCGCTTTCGCGGGCGAACATCTCCGCGCATCTTCGTTCCCCAAGCGCAAAAAAAAAAGACAGAAACAACAAAATAGAACGGGTAGTCTCTGTTTGATGGTGTATGTATGTTTCCTAAAAGAGAAGCGAAAATTGTCGTAATGTTACAAGGCCAAAACGCGTTCATCATGGCCACCTCGCCCTATAACCCTTTTACGACACACAGGAAAATCGGAGCTGAGAAAATATCACAAAAAGATAAAAAAAGCGCCTGCTGATTGGACGATGATTGACGGTCCCTGACCTGCACACATGGAGAAATCAGCGTCCGTAGCGTCCCCACCTGAACCGTCTCTACTCTTAAAGGCCCTATCAAATGGCCCCTCAAACCCGATCGTAGCGAGGGGCCATTTGATAGGGCTTTCAAAGAACAACTGGCGAGAGCGCGGTAAACTGAGCACAAAAGGAGGTTTTTCAAGATACTGTTCTAGAGAGAAAGCGAGACCCCGGCGTTTCAAGCTCCAGGATGCCCGGGTGCCCCTTTCGTCGGTGGGTGGAGTGTTCCTTCGAGTTAGGCCCTGGAAGCGCTTTTTGCCCAAGCACAGAGTCTGACGCGGCGCAATGACGATTTTCCTGGACGCGTATGCATACGAGAGTTCGTGTTCGATGCCGCCATGGCGGTAGGAGCGGGCTCATGCCTGCACGACACTCCGCCAACGGCTCTACCAAGAGGTTTGACGCGCGATCAGCGCGTCCAAGCCGCGAAGGAACACCCTGGGCTCTGCGGAGTCTATCTGGCGGAGGTGATTGCTGGGTGTGCTTGGGCAAAAAGCGCTTCCAGGGCCTAACTCGAAGAAACACTCCACCCACCGATGAAAGGGGCACCCGGGCATCCTGGAGCTTGAAACGCCGGGGTCTCGCTTTCTCTCTAGAACAGTATCTTGAAAACCTCCTTTTGTGCTCAGTTTACCGCGCTCTCGCCAGTTGTTCTCTAAATTCCCTATCAAATGGCCCCTCGCTACGATCGGGTTTGAGGGGCCATTTGATAGGGCCTTTAAGAGTAGAGACGGTTCAGGTGGGGACGCTACGGACGCTGATTTCTTCATGTGTACAGGTCAGGGACCGTCAATCATCGTCCAATCAGCAGGCGCATTTTTTTCTTCTTTTTTAAACATATTTTTGTGATATGTTGTCAGCTCCGATTTTTTTCCTGTGCGTCGTAAAGGGGTTAACCCCCTGCCTGAAAGTCATCCCTACGGAAACCACGGAGCCTCCTCAAATGCCCCACAAGAGATGCAGGTATTTTAGTATAAGTTCTGGCAGCAGTGCTTTAGGTCGTGTAGCACGAGCGTTTTCGTCCTTGCTGGCTGTCGTCACTCACCGGCAGCCAAAGACTTTTCGGCCACTCAGAGTTCACCCACACCGGTGAAAAATGTGCGGGCACTCACCTCTTTCTCTGTGTGTTTGTAACAGTTCTCTCTCTCTCTCTCTCTCCATCTATGACAGAAACAGTTATTTCAGAACATATACTCACTGAAAGGCTACCCGTTCGAGATAACACCACAGCAGTCGAAGAGATGATGATATAGCAATACTTCCAATGAATGGGGAGAGGAACTGCTGGGGTGCTCTGCTTCTCTGTTTCAAGCCTATACACAGCAGGCGCTGGTACAAACAACAAACAAAAATAGCTATCTAGCTCGCTGTGGTGGAAGGCTAGCTGGAGACTCACTTTCTGTTGCGGCTGGCGCCATAACAGGTCGTCATCAAGTCCCCTATCCCGCAGCTCTCTAGGAACGCCCTCGAAGAGGCCGTCGCGTCGAAGGCGCTCGCGTCGCAGCGTAATCTGCCGCCGGCCGAGGACGTCCATCGACAGCAACCAACCACGACGGGGGATGGGACCGGAAAAATCAAGGAGGCGTTATTCCCGTTTTTTCACAACGCGAACCATGACTCTTTCGTTCTCTTGGGAGTAGCCTTGATGAGGCCATTCATCGATAGCGATCACACGGGGGAATGTGACAATGGGACCGGAACACACAAGGAGGCGTTATTCCCGGTTTTTCACAACGCGCAACCCCGACTCGTCGTTTTCTTGCGAGTAGCCGTAATGGGGGTCGTGCTAAGAATCCCAACGTTTCGCTCCCATGGCAAAAAAAAACCAAAAAAACATGCATCTCATAGTATCCCTTCACATGCATCTCCCGCACTACCGGAACCTTACTGGCACACGTTACTTAGCATATCTCCGTTTGACTCTTGAAATATTCTACGCATCGCTCTCGCACACTCGTACACGCATATGCAAACGTACCTCTGTGCGAAGACCTGCATCTCGGCGAGGCCTGTGCGGACGATAGCCGCCTTGGTGTTTCCCCCGTACCCCAGGCCGTCGCAAAAGGCCGCCCCTAGCGCCACGACGTTCTTCAGCGCGCCGCACAGCTCGACCGTGGCTGAAGCGTTTCGCACCACCTGTCCAGGTCAAAAATGAGAGATAAAGCGCGGGGGGGGTGGGGGGGGGGTCGGCACATTGGTTCGCGTTCGTAGGCCTGTGCGTTCTGATTTTCAATGCTCCCATCTACGGCCGGACAAGCGCACCGTCTCTGTCCCCACGCACGAAAAAACGCAACATTCAATCGAAACCCCGTACCCAGTTCATCATGATACGCCATGTTTGCAAATTTTCGCAGTCGGTGGTAACTGTAGCCTCGTTCCTCACCGTAACGCGGAACGTAGGGCGGTTGAAGAGGAGCCTCAGGGTGTCGGTGTCGGCGTCAGCCGTTACCGAAAGTCCCGCCGCTCTGCAAGACGCGTAGTCCTCGTCGGCAAGGCCCAGCTGCATGAAAAAAAAAAAAAAAAATGAATCAACGTTTTTTTTCTCGAGCGGGGTACGTATGGTGTACAAGTAGCGACAACCTCTCAGGGGACAATACCGACCCCTGTCAAGCCTAAAATAGTAGCCCTGAGGGCTATGGATGGGTATCAGAACTAGTCCCACTCGGCATTTTGATGTGACGTACACTCTTGACAGGAGGTGAGAAAACATCAAGATCAGCGGGGAGGGGCCAGTAGAAGAGGAAGAGAGGTGGAATGGAGGGGGGGAGAAACAAAACCAAATCTCCCCAACACCAGGAAATTGTACCGAGTAAGTGGCGCCGTGTCCGCTCGTTAGCTCGTTCGGCTTGTGGAGGCTGGCGGCAGAGACTTACCGCAAGGAGGGCCCCTCGCTTTCGATCAAACGGAACTTCAGGCCATTCTTACAAGCTGCTTAGAAGATATGCACCGCACCAGAACAATCTTTTCCGTTCAAGATAACTATTTAGCCGTTCGAAGAGATATGCTGAAGGCGTTGCATAATCTACAGCACAAGCGTGGGCTGAGGGGCACCTGCTGGGAAACTGCACTTGTTGACGTTGTTTTGAAGTCTCAACACTGAACAGGCGGTGATGCCAGCTGGAAAAAAAAACTTGTAGGCGAGGAAAACAAAATGAAGAGATCATCCCTACCGTAGACTCGCAAAGCTCATCGCGGGCGACCTCGTTCGCGACGTTGGCCCCCATCAACACGCTCACGGGCACGGCGCCGCAAAGGCCCTCGCGGATGTGATCCGAGATAAGCTTGAGCCCGTCGGGCCCCTTGTCCACCCCCTTGATGAGCGAGACCGCTCGGATCCTGGCGCAAGCAATTTGTCGGGGGGGGGGGGGGTACTCATAGTCGTGCATGCCGTAGTCGTTACACCATTGACCTCGCATCCCTACGAAGCCGGGACGGTGCACGTCGCGGTATCACCGGACCAGGCTCACATCACCAAGCGCGAAGAACCGTGAGGTATTCGGTGAGTCGCATGAAGGGTGCGCTGCATCCTGCGAAGGGTGTTCGGCATCTTGTGCTTACTTCCTTGCGTACGGATGACAGCTGCGTATGACTCAATTCATGTTCTGGTGCTTTCATTTCCAGAGACAGCTATAAGCACTGTGTAACTGCCTCGAGGATGCTTTACCATTCTGCCTCGAGGATGCTTTACCATTTTAACACAGCATGGTGCGATCATCCCCCTTGCGCGGAGTGAGGGTTCTCGACCCCGCACAACATGATCTACTCGACCACCATCATCATGGTTACCGCAAAAAAAAAATAACAAGAGGTAAAAAAAAAACGGTAACCTGGTTGCCGAGTTCACGAAGTATTCATGTTGTGCATGCCATAGCGGTTAGACCATTTGACCATAAGGGGGGTTACTCATGTTTTGCAAGCTACTGAAGTTAGACCACGCGTCCTCGAGAGGACGGAGCATTGTTCTCCCACAGGATCGATCACCGACAGGCCATTCGTTCCTTGTCGGTGGTTGCGTTTACCATTCGATCGCACAAGACAACGACCAAGATACCCGCGGGATACCGACCTGGATTAGAGCACAAACTAAAAGTTTCAACTACGTACACAGAAACAATATCAGGAGCAAAAGTTCCAGCAAGCACGTCTTACCTGCGGCCGCCCGGTGCTACACCTGCGGTGCCCCCGCTCTTGGTTAGTCCAAGCGCCTCGGCCACCGTCGGTAGAACCCGTCCCAGGAACTGCGCAACGTTTCGTTCGTTTTGTCGTAGTTTGGTGTCTTCATAAGAAAGGGTCATGACATCGTTCGTAAATGTGGCGGTTGTCGTTGTTGACACTCAAGTATTCTTGGCAAGTTGACGGACAGGAGCGAGAATGGTAGGAGCAGGGGGGCGACGCCGATTCGCGCGTGTGGTTTGTCGCTTCATGTCTACAACATGGTCACAACGTTTGTCGGACTTGTTGTACAGCCACGTTTTCCATTTTACGCAGCCGCTCGTCGCGAGGTTCACGAACGAACACGTTTCTCTGGGACGAATGACGTCATAGCGTCTTCCGCTCAATTGCGCCCCCCTCCCTTGCGCTCGTTAATGTCTTTTTTGTTTCTACAAACTTTTGTTCCGGCCTCCGGGATCAGCGGACCATCAAATCAAAGTTACATACGAAGGGCCTCCGAGTAGTACGTAGTGTGGCCACGACGGTGTTTCGCGGTCCGATCCTGCTTCGATCCATACTCTCTTCTTTCGTCTCTTTCTCGTGCTCTTTCACTCTCTCTGTCCCTGTCTCCCTCTCTCTGTGTCTGCATCCCTAGCTCCCTAGTTTCTTGTCCCTCTCCCTGCCCCCCCCCCCCCCTCCCCCTCACCAACAAACAAAAAATAACCCAAAGAACTCCCCTGCGTACATGTATCCAAACACAAAGCCGACCCGACGCAGACCTGGTGGGGCAGCACGAAGATGAGGATCGTGGCGTCCTTGACGGCGAGGGCGAGATCGCCCTCCGCGACCAGGTTCTCGGGAAGCTTGACGCCGGGCAGGTACTTGACGTTCTCGTGCTCCTTGTTGATCACCTCGGTCAGGCACGCCTCCACGCCGTTGTGGGAAACCTTCTCGGGGAAGACCCACTGGCGGATCTGGTGCTCGAAACCCTCCTGCCCGCCACCGCCGCCGCCGTTTGGGAGACAAGAAAAAAAAAAAACACAGGAGGATGGAGGGAACGTTACGAGGTGGCGGCGACGGTGGCCCGCGAGAAAAGAGCGAAAAGGGGCAAAGGGAAGAGAAAACACGGAAGATAATTGACATATTATTTAGTCATGTGCTTGGCCGCCATTGCTCCCGCCCGTGACGTAGTTCTAACAGTGGCTTTCCCACTGCTCTGAATCTGGCACACGAAGGCAGGAATTTGGGCCAGGCGCGAGTATGTTGAAGCGTGTTCGCGCGAAAACTCACAATCAGGGCCAAAACGGCGGCCCCCAAGAACGACCCTCACGGAACAGGAGTTCCAAGCCAACAAGCATGCCTCTACACACCTTCCAAACAGGGGGTCCCACGCAAAAGAAGAAAGCCTCCGTCAACGTCACCCACCAAACCAGACCGCGGTCCACAACAAAAATATGTTCCCGGTTAAACATGTTTCGTGATGTGAACCGCACCTCTTCGTCCCTAATCTCCACCAGTTTTCAACACACAACCGTTACAGGTTACAAACCTCGGCACCACACACCCAACGCGCAATCAACCATAGCCTCCGTTACCTGCTCAATCACATTCCGGCCGACGATGCGGGCGATGGCAGATCCCCAGTTGCCGCTGCCCACGATCGCCACGCGCTCGGGCGCCGCTCCCCCACCCCCCCCCAACGGCTGCCGCGAAGCCCCGCCCAGGTCGGCGTCGAGGAGGCTCTCGCAGCTAGTCATTGACCCCATTGACATCTGGATGGTGGTGGTGTTGTTGGGTAGAAATAGGGTATGAGTGCACCGAAAAACGCTGCAAGCTAGGTTCAAAGGGTGTGACAGCAGTAGGGGTTGCAAAAAGAGAGCACGCCGGGTTTCATTTTGGGTGTTGCGCACGAAGCCCCGGACATCAACTGAAATAATGTTTTCGGCTCTCAACCTGTTTCTCTGCAGCTATGCCTGCCTCTGTTAGGCATTGGTTCCTGGGTGACCCGTCGAAAACGGGTGCCAAAGAGCGCACCAACGCGCTGATCATCGCCATACATACGCAGCGGTCACGACAGCCTCACGAGATACCTAACCCAAGCACGACCTATCTAACAAGCGCCAGACGAGAGTCTCTCAATGTGTCAATGTTGCGGCAGGTCTCTGTTTTTTTTTGGGCTGGCTCTCCACGTGTGGCCTGTCGGACGAAACGTACGTACGTGTCACAGAGAGGTATGCCCACGGTAGAGCATGTACCAGCGTACCAGCCCCAACCATGAGAGCCTACCTATGCTATGTACGCCGTATTGTTCTTTCCCTCTTTAGCGGCCACGACAGTGGGCAGGGTCGTTCTGCATTGAACGCGCACACAAGCCTGAAACGCAAAAGAAGGAATTCGAAACCTGGAAAAACAAAACGAAAAGCTACCTGTCGATCTTTCTTTGCTCGACATAAAAAAAAAAAGAAAAGAAGAGTCGCAAGCGCAATCTTTAGTCTCAGTGGACTACAAGTTCATCTGACGAGCCCCCGAGACTGATTTCGAAACAAAACACAAAAATACATAGCAAGAACGACGACAAACCACAAGCTGCTGTCTAGGAATAGCTACAACAACGGGAGCCGCACGCAGCAGAAGCGCCCTCTCCACACCCATCACCACGCAAGTGCGATGCGGTTGCTCTGCTGATCTGTACCCCTAACCCGCGGTGACGCGGTGGCTATTCGTTCGAGCATACAACACACGTGCAAAGAACAAATGAGGCGTGCACACGCGAAACCCTCCCCCCCCCCAGCCATGATCCCACACGCTTCCGCCCAGCCCGGCACCAACATGAGCAGTGCACAGACGCGGGGCCGAGAGCCGGTCGCTCGAAGAGGGCAGAGGGGGCGCGCACAAGATGCAAGATCAGCGTTCATGTGCGCGCCGCATACGGGTGGTGACGTGTCCTTTGTCCATTTTCTAATTTCTAACGTTTCATTCTTCGTTCCCTTTCCTCTCTCTCTCACCGATTCATCCGCATGGGCAGACGCGATTCCCGCTCCGGTATCAGCCATGACTTGTAGCGAGGTGTATGGGCGATCGTATGCAGTGTTGTTTGGAGGAGAGGGACGGGCTTGTGTGGCGCGGAAGGAGGACAAGCTGTTCGAGAACTAAAAACTTTTGGATGAGATCTCCGAGTGACGAGGAAAGAAAAACGGAGATCCTCTTCGGAGATCCTCTTCGGTTAGGCCGCACTGTCGACCGTCCACGGGAGTCCGCAACGGCAGAGACGGCGATGCATTAGTGGGCAACCCGAGGCAGCGAGACAAGAGGGGAGCGCCTGTTCCCCGATACGATGTCTTTGGCGTCGACAATCGAGGTTCGTGCAGCCGGTGCCGCGGGGAACGGGTGCTTCGCGACGTCTAGGCCCGGAGGAGGGCTGATCAGGGCCGGGACAGCTGTGCTCCAGGGAGCGCGGCCCATGGTGTGGGCGTTGAAGGACGAGCACGAGGGACGCAACTGCAGGTCGGCTGCTCTCCAACTGCTTGTGTCCACTTTTGTGGCGCCCCCGTGAGGGCGACCTGCTTTTTGGCGTGCAATGACCCTGCTCACCCCGGTCACAGCAGTAAACGGCACAACAAGCGTTGATGTATGGTGCACAGCAGTGTTCATGTTTTACCGTGGGACGAAAAATGTTCATGTTTCCTGAGGCGCGGCGTTTGTTCCTGTTGGCCATGTTTGATTTGTGACCAGCAGTGTGTGACCTCGCAGCAACGCATGGAACACGTGGGTGTCGATGCCGGAGAGAATAGACTCGATGCTTCCTGTTTAAAGTTGCAATTTTGTTTCCTCCTCCTCCTCCTCCTCCTCCTCCTCCTCCTCCCCACGTACTGCCGTGTGGTTGGAGGCAAGGGCACCAGCCCCCGCCTCTGTGGTACTGCTGTCGTACTGGTGATTGGCCGGGTGTGTACATAAACGCGTCGTTTTCGGGGACGCGCTGCTGCACGAAATCCCTTTCGTTTCGTGTGTCGATACGCCCGGCCTGGCGGCCCTGTGTCCTTTGTCCTGCACGAAGAAATCTGCCGGGTGTTGGCATGGGCATTGACCTTCCGTCTCGAATTTTTTCATGTTCGTTGTATGCAGGTCGCCCCGGTGGTCTAGTTGGTATCCTCGAAACCTTCTAGAGGTCAGGTCAGGGGTTCGAATCCCGGCGTAAGCGAGTTTTTCTTGCAAAGTGAGTTTTTCTCTCGCTTCCGCTTCTGGCCTAGTGGATAGCGCTAGTTCGTGTGTACACAGAGGGAAGAGAGTGCTGAACTCTTCTCTCATTAAAAATTGAAGGCAAAGTACCGCAGGAGGGGAGGGTAGAGAGAGGCTCTTCTGTGTGACCACGGGTTGGAGTAAACGGCACTAGTGCTGTGAGCGCTGATTTGAAGTGAAGAAAAAAAAGGAAAAAAGAAAAAAGAAAAAAAAAAATCCGCCAAGAATAGCCGCCTCTCTCTCTCTCTCTCTCTCTCTCTCTCTCTCTCTCTCAAAATAATGTGCGTGTAACATTGAGTCCCCCTCCCTCGACCCCTCCCTCGATCTCGGCTTCTTTCCGTCGCCTCCGATGGCCGTCAACGATGCCGCCGCTCTGGACACCGAACCAAACCGCAGGCGCTGTCTGCAGCCCTCCCACCTGTCACCCAGACTCGTGCCCGAGGCGACACCACAAGGAGGGACGTCTCCGCCTCACCCTCGCAGCTGCGCCAAGTGCCTAAGATCAGTCCTGTGCTCTCGGTGCATCACCGCGGCCGACTCAGCTGAGGTTGGTGGTGATGGTGGTGGGTGCTCTCACGGAAGCCTGGAGTGTGATGCCCTGGTGCGTCTGTCGGCTTTGCAACGCGAGCAGCCGGACCTGGCCAGCTCCCTGCTGGGTGGCAGCACGGTTTACCTCAGGTGGGCGGCCCTCTTGGCTTGGTTTGTTTTTTCTGAACATCGACCTCGCTTCCCGACTGGCCAATTCAATTTCGAAATTACAACGTCACCCTGCGTGGGGGACGGGGGGGGGGGGTGTACTCATAGTCGTGCACGCCGTAGTCGTTTGACCACTGACCGCATCCCTACAAAGCCGGGACGGAGCAGCGTCGGGTTATCACCGGACCAGGCTGTAGTACATACAACACCAAGCGCGAAGCGCCGTGAGGTATTCGGCGAGTCGCATGAAGGGTGCTCTGCATCCTGCTAAGGGTGTTCGGCATCTTGTGCTTACTTCCTTGCGTACGGATGACAGCTTCGAATGACTTAATTCATGTTATGGTGCTTTCACTTCCAAGAGACAGTTGTAAGCATGTTGTAACTGCGTCGAGGGTGCTTGACCATTTTAACACAAGTTGGTGCGATCATCCCCTTCGTGCGGAGTGAGCGTTCTCGACGCCGCACGTTACACACGTTATAATCCAATCGACAACCATTATGGTTACCGCAAAAACAGAACAAGGAAGAAAGAAGAGGTAACCTGGTTGTCGAGATCATGAAGCGATCGGCTTGTTTTACAACGTCGTTGCCAAGCGACGAAAACCCGGCGGGACGGAAAAAAACAAAAATCGCAAAAATGTTTAGCCTTGGTTAAGGAACAGTATACACGTCTCAAATGGATCACCACACACAACGGCAGGCGCTTCGACGTGGCAGGTTTGTAGCAATGCGCTTCGGGCGCAGTTTGGGATATTTCCGGCCACTGTTTCCTGGCGACAACCGCATCATATAATGATCCTCTACCTTCCGGCAATCGCCAATCCTACAACAGCGCCCCTTCCGCGTAGAACGCCCCAAACCCGCATGCCAGCGGCACTGGTCTAGGCGTCGTGCTGCTTCTGGCGAACGGTGTATTAGTGGCGAAAAAGAAATCTTCTGGGCAGGTGTGTCTGTGTCGTCCATGCTGTGCTCACCTTCTCGGACACTCCTCGATCCCGGCAGGCTTCTTTTGCAGCTGCTCGCCATGCGCTCGAGGGAGCTCGGAACGAACTCAACTGCAGGGTCGGCGGCGGCTCGGGCGGGGGATGCGACGGTGAGTAGACAGCACCGGACGGTAGCTCGTGTTGCGGGTCGTGTTTGGATTCGGAGTTCGTGCTTGTTTCAAGTTTAGACCGGCGGCGGCATATCCGTATCGGTGTCAATTTTCCTGTTCTTTTTTGTCGAATACGAGCAAGATCGTTGGTGGTGCCCCGGCTCGAGCCACAACCAGCACACCGACACCCTGCCAACCCTTTGACTTATTTATGACCCCCCAAAAGCTATCGCCAACATCACCAGGCGTACCTTAGCGACATGGACGATCTCGAAGACCACCTGGACGACCTCCTCGACGGTGGCGAGATGGAGGCTAGGATGGGAAACACAATTGGAGCCGCTAGGCTGGTGGCGCCGGCGGCTTGGAAGGCGAACCAGGACGTCTGCTCCGAGTTTCTCGGGAAGCTGTAAGGAAACTCCGAGGGGTGATAAAGAAAGCTTGCCATCATCACCAACCAACCACGTGTTTAGTAAACCAAGCATTGAGACGCCTCCGGTTGAGTCGTGCCGCACATGTGCGCCGCGGGAGGTTTCGATGCGTCCAGTTATTTGCAGAAGATGACGGCCGATCGACGGCACCGTCGCTCTCGTATTTCCTCGGGACATCGGCGGTTCTCGAGACCGTCGCTTTCAACAAACAAAATAGAAATGAGACTCTCGACCGCGAAGCGCGTTCAAAATGCCCCGATACATTTGCATTGCACCACACCTATTTCGGCCGATATGGGCGTACGTTAGTTTGTTGTTTCCATTGTTTGTCTAGGGATGCATGCTCCCACGTCGCTACGGGTAGCACTTGTACAAAAAGCCTATCCCATGCTTCCCCCAATGGTCAAACGCCCGAGGCAACCTCCCCCCCCCCCCCCCCAGGAGGCGGCTCGTGCTATGCCTCCCGGAACCCCCTCTCCTGTCCCGCCCAAAACGTGGAAAATACCTGGGCCCCCGTTATGCCCCGCCCTTGCGACCAACAATTGCCAAGATGAGCGCTCATCCTGCGGCGTCTGCTCCCTCGAACTGCTCGTGGAGCAGGGAACACCCCCCCCTCCCCTCAAGCTTTCCCATCCCCACGTTCGCAGGGCACCCCTTCCCGCCCGAAACGGACCCCTCCGACAACGAACTCCCTGCACATCCTTAGGTACTGCAACTCCATGACGATCGGGAAAGCGGGGTTTTCCGCGCCTCTCGCCGGGTGGGGTTACTGGAGCGGGATCCGGGGCTGCCTGTACTCGGACTTCGGGGTGGGCCTGTACCCGGCGGGCGCCATGTTCAACCACTCGTGTCGGCCCAACTGCTCGTGGCGCACCAACCGCTCCGGGGAGCTGTGCGTGGTTGCCGTGGAGGACGTTCCTGCCGGCTCCCAGCTGTTCATCTCGTAAGGGGCGGTACATGTACCGAGTTTTCGTTGTGAGGAGGGGGGCGTGAGTTTTGGGATGTGGTCGGGTTTTTAGTCAGTTTATGGGCTGTAGGATTGGTTGTGAGGGGGGGGGGGAAGAGGCGGGTGTAACATGGGTGCGAGAGGACGCTCCGAAGGAGAGGGAGGGTATTGTGTTTTGACCTCGGGGAGCTGTCCTAGGGATGGAACATAGAAAAATAGAGCCCTCCTGCTGCCCACACAACGAGTCTCTTGATTGTGCTGCCCTGTCTCGATTTTCTCTGCCCTGATGTCTCTCTCAGCGTCTCGCCACCATTCTCCAATGCCGGTTGTTTGCGGCGGGTTGAACTCCACCTTCACCACAGATTCTCTCCCTCGCTGTGCCCCCCCGCCCCCCCCCCCCCTTCTGTCGTAACCTTGCCTTCGTGTCCCCTGCGGACAACACACCCACACGTAAAATGCAAACGTATAGCTACGTGGACATCTTGCAGCCTTGGCCGGTGAGGCAAGACCTCCTCCGCTGCCACTTTTTCTTCGAGTGCGCCTGCCCGCGGTGCTGCCGCAGTCCCCCCGCGCCGCCAAGGAGAGCGGTCCGAAGCGCCAGGAGCAAGACGGGAGGCAGTGGTAGCGATACGGCGGACCCTTGCAGCGGGGGTGGTTATTCCAGTGACACGATCTACGGAGAGAGTCGCGACAGGGAGGAGATGGTTTCCGGGGCGTGGGTCTGCCCCAAGAGAGCGTGCTGCGGCAACGGGAGAGTGCTACCGCCGTTGTCGACGGCAGGGAGAGGCGGTGCTGCCGGTGGCGAGGCACAGCTTGAAGTAAGGCCGCATGGATGGGGGGCGCAGCAGGCGCGCTGCCGATGCGTAGACTGCGGGGGCGTTACGGGGGAAGCGTACTTCGACCGATGGACGGAGCTGCTGCGGGCGAAACAGACGGCGGCGGACGACGACTTGGCGGGCGGGAGGGTGCGGGAGGGGAGAAGGAAGCTCGCCGACCTGCAGGTGAAATGGGTCCCGTCAGGAGAGAAGAGAGAGAGGGGGAGGGAGGGAGGGAGAGTGAGAGTGAGTGAGACCGAGTGAGACCGAGTGAGACCGAGAGAGACGGAGAGAGACGGAGAGAGATAGAGAGAGGGAGACAGGGGGAGAGGGAGACAGAGAGAGATACACACACAGACAGAAACAGACGGGAAAAGAGAGAGGAGAGACAGAGAGAGGCAGAGGGAGAGAAAGCGAGGGGATAGGAAAGAGAAAGAGCCAGGTTGAAGACTCAGGGGTTCAAGGAAAAGCCCTTCCCCCCGGTAGTCCATGCAGTTGATAGCCTCGAAAGCATCCCAGCGGCTAGGTTAGCAGTTCGAGTTTCGGAGAGTGTGAGTCAGGCTGAGTTCTTTCCCGCCTACTGACCTTACCACCAGCTGCATGCGTTCGCAAAGAATCGTGGAGAGAAGAAAAATTGGCGACTCACTCTTCTAGCGTTGAACAACTGTTGTCCGTGTAGCCCCCACAGATCGGAGCTCTCCAGTTTAGGAGGCAAGAGCAGCGGGGGACGAATGTGAAAGGGTTTGTGCAGTGCCTTCTTGACGACCAGTGGACGGGATCACCCGAAAGGGGGTACTGCACGTAAAACTAGTTCTCGTGTGTGTGTTGCGGCGGCGCCATCACCTGGTTCTCTCATTACGAAACCCTCACAAGACTCAGGGTTTGATTGGTGCGGAGGGTGGTCGTACTGCAGCCCTCCTTTCACTCGCCATCTTCGCCGTACACACGGAACGAGACGGCCCGCTGGTGCGAGGAGGGGCCACGATTTGGCGACCACGCTGCTGTTGTTGCTCTTTACGAAACCCTCCCTTCCTTTCTTCCTTCCTTCCCCCTCCCTTTTACCTTCCTCCGGTCCACAACTCCCGCGGTAGGTCTTGTGCGAGAGGCGCCTCTCGCCCCACAACTCCTTCTCCCTGGGGGTGCACTGCCGACTGTCCTTGGCCGCAGCCGTCGACAGGGACTGGCCGACGACCATCGCGCACGCGGAGCGTGCGCTGGGCTGCATGCGGAGAATCGCCTCTGAGATCGAAGGAGGAGGAGGAGGAGGAGGAGGAGGAGGAGGATTGTCGGCCGGGGCGATCGATAGAGGCACGTGCGTCGGCGAGGAGGGTGGTGATGGTATTCGTGGCGGACGTGGAAGTGATGACAACCGTGGTGGTGGTGGTCGCGTCAGCAAGCGCAGAAGGGGCGGCGGTGACGAGAGGGACGGTGGCAGTTTCACGACTGCTGTGGTGTCTTCGGAATGCCCTCTCCTTGCTACCGCGGTGAGTGCGCGCGTGCGTGATATTCGTCTTGTTTGTGGCACCGACCGCCCTTACGGGGTGGCCGATCGTGTGACGCCATTTTTCGTGGGACCAACGATATGGAGGGGGTTATTGTAGTGTGCGTGAGCTCTTCAGAATTATTGCAGGAGGCGTCCAGCTGAGCTCCCTAGGCACGCACGTCCACTGCCGGTTTCAATTCTTCAACCCACAAACAGGAACACCCAAATACGTGGCATGTGCGTGTTTGCACAGTAGTACTTGAGAGTGTTTTGCAAGTGTTCCGCAGACGCGCGGAAGAATCACCCCCCTCCTCCTAATCGAAAGAGACCCAATTGCCAGCCATCAAGATCCTACCACGGGCAAACACCGTTAGCGATCCCGTACGTGCTCTTGATACTGCGGATCGTCCGTTCTGATTGACTCCAGATTTGGGAGGCGATCCTCGTGGAGGTGCTGGACCGCGTGCTCCCCTTAGCAGGGCGACACTGCGAGACAGAACTACACAGGGCGAGGGTCGCTTTCGCCGAGCGGGTGGTTGGCGTGCTGGGGTTGCGTCGCAGCAGCCTTGTGACCCTGCCTGGTGAATCATGAGCGAGGCTCTTAACCTTGCGCAGGAAGACCTTCACATGCATCCCGTACGTATGGATGCCTCCGTACCGCTCTTACTCTTTGTCTGTGTCTTAGCCTTTTCGAAACGGCGCCTTTGACATCAACCTTGGACACGCGTTTTTACATTTCGGCCGTAGCACGCACGTTCACGCCGAAGAACTGATTTGGTATCGGTCCTACCGCCGCTTGGTCGTATTCTCTTTGAGTCAGATCTGCATGGTCTGCAAGGTTCCAGTAAGCGTCGCGGCTTTTGCGGAGTAGGAGAAGACCTTGGTGGGATTAGGATACGCCAGGTTTGTTTTCGTTTGGAGGCATTTTTGGAGTCCCACCGCGGAAGGCTCGTGTGTAGATCTTACATTTTTTTTTTTTGAGGCTCGATTTCTTCACTCCTGGGTTCTCAAGTACGGGCGCGTTCTGTATGCCCTATGAAGGACACACTTTCCCACGGCTGTTCTGCCCTTCCCTTCGCGGCTAACTTGTCAACGGCGTATGGCTACAAACGTCACCGAACACGATGCGGCAGCAGCAGTATTTAGTGGTGTCCACAGAGAGAGATGGCGAAAAACTATCTTGCTTCTAGTGTGCTGCCATGCTTCCCCCCTGTCAGTTTCATTGCCCTCGAATGTTGTCTTGCACCATAGGCTAACCCGGGCCGGTCCCAACTTTCGTCGCACAACAAGAAACTATCTACTCTTTTTTTTGAGCCACAACGAATCCAAAATAGTCTGACATAGCTTTAAGGAAAAAATAAATACACGCACAGAAAGACTACCCATTCGAGATATACCCACAGTCGAACGGGATGTGGTGGAGTCTAACATAGATTATTAGCAATGAATCCTAAGCGTCAGCGAACACTACGTGTACCTGTGTTCCAAAAATAGTACAATGTCGACTTGAACAATAAACATTCCAAGTTCCAAATGGAGACTGGGATCCCCGGCTCTCGTCTACAGCAGTCTGCTGTAGAGTCTAGAGGCAAGCAATTTCATCTCATTTCTCAGTCTCATCGGACTTCTGCACCACTCCGACAGCAGAGCCGGGGTCATTGCCCACCTTGTTCGACCTTGTTTGATTGTGTTGCCATACCGCTACCTCTGTTGCCCGTAGTTTGTCTGTTGCCCTCAGTTTTGTGACATTACCAACAAGCATACCCACGAGGTAGTCCGTTGGGGGGCGAACGCTATATGTGCTATGTACGTACGAGGTATGTACGAAAAGCAGCACCCGACTAACACCTTGCAAGAATAGCCATCTTCATGTACGCTACACCATGATACGGAGAATCGGGTGTACAGCAGTGTACAGACAGGGATGCAACCACAAACGCGTGGAGGAGATTTGGTTGTGCTGCTGCTGCTGCTGCTGCTGCTACCAGGCTAAATACCAAAATCTGCAACCTGGAAGCTTCCACATCGGTTATACTGTCGATCGAGTGGTCGGCGACACTGACTTGCCGACTCGCCGAATCGTCACACTTCAGAATAATATCCAAGCCGCAGGAAGATTCGGGTAGCTGTAGCTGTAATTCTCTCTCTCTCCTTCTCGATACCGTCTCAAAATGCCACCAAGTGGCCAGAGCAGCAGAAATTGTGAGGCGGCCGCTACCAAGTTATGTTTTCGGCATATCGAAGACTTTTCGTTCGAAGATACATTGTAGCGACTTTCAGATGACGCTTCGCATCGTGGAATCGTGGGTCGTGGGTCGTGGAACTCCACATGACACGCGTCTTCATTGGTCCAAAAATGACAAAAATGACAGTCTCTTACAGTAGTCCCTTTATTTCCGCCGCGTTTCGCGGGGCACAAATCAGTCAGTGAGTCAGTGCCTCTGTCCCCTGCTGTATGCCTCGGCAAGCCTACTTCACCGCTGTTCTGCGGTTCTGCAGCAACACACACACACGCGACGGATCTTGAGGCAACGAAGAGGGCTCGGAAGCTTGGTTTAGGATCGTGGGAGAGAGAAAGCGCGCATGCGACGCAGAGAAGAAATCCCAATATTTCTTTGATGCAGCCCACGTTCGTTCTCCCCTGAGACTGCTGACAAGATATTATCCTGACAAGATTTTAAAGAATAATATTTGTAATCCGAGAATCATCACTTTTGAGAAAAGAAACCCTACTTCGGGAGAAGCACGAGGAAAAGTTGACGTATCCGTACATGCGGCAGCCGTTCCCGTTTAGGGGGTCATGAGGACTCCTTTTTCAAAATCTTGTTCTCCCTCCTCACTCACTCTCTCTTGTTCTCCTCTCTCCTCCCTTTTCTTCCTCTCCCCGGCGGCCACGCGCAACAAACAGCTGTGTGCCCACTGCCCCCAAGATGTCTGACTGGAAGAAATGTGAGTTGTCTATGCCCATAGTCTATGTGTACATGGTAGGTGTGTTGACGAGGCCGCAGCACGTACTGCAGCGAGCGGCCCGATCCGTTTGCTCCCCGGCCTTCTTGTACATACGCAAAGTATTACTTCGCAACAAAGTTCTGTATGTAGCCCTGGAACGTGTACCACGTGCCCACGGTTGTTATGCACCAGAGGGTGGTTCCGTACGAAGCGATGTAGATTGCCGGGAGAGGGACAACGCATTCCTTGAGGCTGGGAATCATGTTTTGGATTCTCGCCTCACCAACAACCAACACAGGGCGGAAGAACGTAATCTCCTGCTGCAACCGCTGTAGTCTAGACTACACAGGTTTAGCACCGCAGCAGTGGTTGGCTGCAATCGTTGAGTGGGATCAATCGCTACGAAGACCCTCTTAGGAATGTATACGGGTAACTAGAATTTTGCTACTATGCTTTATGTAGCAGGTTCCAAGTTGTAGGTGCCACTGCTGCTTTATGTGCAGCAGTAGGTCCCATATTGTAGGTGCCACTGCTGATAGACTATTATTGTACATCAGTAGTGGTCCCGGTATAACACCGGTCGAATAATGCGTTTCCCCGTATGATGCCGGTGAATCGTCTGGCGCAGATGGGATGTTCGAGTTGTTTCATACTCTAAATAATGTCGGCCGCTCGCAAAATGCCGGTGCGATCATTCCGATTTCACCGGCATTACACCGGGACCACTGCTGTACGTGAATGTTGCACCCAGTGGTGTACCTATCGATTTACCGGTCGTGGTGACATATGCCTCGAATCCCCTCGAACAAACGTTGTTTGGCATGCGGCGATACAGCAATACCTCCCGAACGGCTTTTCCCTGCCGTCTTGAGGAAGTGCTCCAAACTGACAGAATCCTCCATACCTCCTGTCTCCAGCACTACTGTAGCAGCATGGTAGCAGCAAATAAGTAGTAACGGTGCCAATCGGTTGCCTCCCTCTACAGAGCGGACCATCTTGGAATATCCTGGTAGATCTTCGAACGGCAAATATATCCCCCCAACTCGATTATTGGCGTACTTTCTCGGTGCCCAACGGGCAACGAAGAGAAAGAAACCCAGCGGTACGACAGGAAGAACATTCGTTTCACGTGATCGTGCCCTCCATCCTCGCCCAATCGACCGTGAGCTCACCCGCCCATCCACCCCCTGCCCACGCGCTCACCAACGACTACGACTCCACGCGCAGACGACAGCTATGACGTGCCCATCGACCCCAAGCAGCAGGACAAGGCCACCATGTTCAAGCTCTACAGCTTCCGGCGCCCCCACATGCGAGCCTTCCATTTCGCGTGGTTCGGTTTCTTCATGGCCTTCGTCTCCTGGTTCGCCTTCGCCCCGCTCATGAAGGAGATCAAGGCCGACCTCGGCATGACCAAGCTCGAGGTGTACAACGCCAACATCTCGTCCGTGTCTTCCACCGTGCTCTCGCGTTTCATCGTGGGCCCCCTCTGTGACACGTTCGGCGCGCGAATCATCTCCAGCACCCTGCTCATCATGGGGTGTATCCCGACCGCCTTCGCCGGCCTGGTGAACAGCGCCACCGACGTGGCCATCATCCGCTTCTTCATCGGCGTGATGGGCGCCACGTTCGTGTGCACGCAGTTCTGGTCCTCGCAGATCTTCGCGAAGGAGTTCGTCGGCACGGCTAACGCCACTACCGGAGGCTGGGGAAACCTGGGCGGCGGTGTCACTCAGGTGCGTCGGAGCAAAGAGAGAGAGAGAGGTCAAGGGGGGAGAGAGACAGGCAGAGACAAGGGACAGGAACAGAACCAAGCACACACAAGAAGCAAGTACGATCAGATCATATCTCCAGCTTCTGGGATCCAATCCTGAACAACCAAGTATGACTCAAGACCGCGTTTGAGACTTCGCTTGACCCTGAATTCATCCCTTCCACCACACCTTCCCCGCCCGCCCATACCTCACAAGGCCCTGCTCAACGCAATATCGCGAAGTCTTGCCACCTTGCCTACCCGAGGCCCGGTTGCCATCCTTCCCACTAATCATCCCTCCTTTCCCTTCCGTGATCTACGCACGCAGATCTTCATGGTGGCGATCTGGAACGCCTTCAAGACCAGCTACGACAGCGAGACGGCGTGGCGCCTCTCGTTCCTCGTGCCGGCGGCCATCGTGTTCTGCGTTGCCGTGGGCCAGCTGTTCCTCGCCGATGACAGCCCGAAGGGTAACTACAAGGAGCTCGAGGCGCACGGCGCCATGACTCGCAAGTCCTCCGCCGTTTCCTTCAAGAAGGTGAATGAGGCGGTTTTGGTCCCGTGCCTATTCCAGAGTTCAGTGTAGTCGAGTTTAGCTGATACATGCTATAGTGTGCCCCGTCTTGGCGCGATTGATTTGGTGGTGCGGTGACTATTCAGCATCATGCGGAACGGTCTCTCTTCCATTCTTACCCGTTGCTGCTGCCATCTACCATCTCTCACGTTTGCCCGTTCGCTTGCCCCCTTGCCCCCCCATTCAATCGCCTCCCCATTCGCTGAGCAGGGCTACATGAACGTGAACTCATGGCTCATGTTCCTCCAGTACGCCGCCTGCTTCGGCGTCGAGCTGACCGTCAACAACGTGGCGGCCAACTACTTCTCGGACGAGTTCGACCTGTCTACCTCCAAGGCTGGTCTCGTGGCGTCGTTGTTCGGACTCATGAACCTCTTCGCCCGCTCTCTGGGTGGCATCTGGTCCGGTGAGTACGCACGACACGCGACTGTATTGGCTGGTGCTGCTACGGTATTGGAGATGGTTGACCGCGCACCGTCCGTGTATTGTTCGGATGTATCGATCCCGTAGAGTGCGTTCCTGACCTGTCACATACGCGAAGCGTTGCAACGGCAAGGCACCACGTGCACGTCGCTTGGAACCTCTCTTTTTGTGTCGATACATGGTCGAAACAGGGTGAAGTGATGCATCTTCCCTCCACCAGACAAGTCGTGTCGACCTTGAGCACTCCCTCTCACCCTCCCCCCCACGCCCTGTGCCCGCCCTGCGTCTCCCCCGGACAAATTACCCATCCCCGTGCAAAACGCCTACAACAACGACGACAGACTTCCTGTTCGCCAAGTTCGGCGGCGGCGTTACCGGCATGCGCGGACGCTTCTTCGCCCAGTGGACTGCCCTCCTTTGGGAAGGCTGCTTCCTCTTCCTCTTCACCTTCATGAACCAACTTGGTGCGGCCATCCCCGTCCTCATCCTCTTCTCCGTGGGCGTGCAAATGGCGGAGGGCACCTCGTACGGCATCGTGCCGTACATCGTGCCGGACGCGACGGGCGCGGTGTCGGGCATCGTGGGCGCCGGCGGTAACTTCGGCGCGGTGATGTGGGGTCTGATCTTCCGGTTCGCGGGCAGGAGCGAGAGGGCGGTGTTCCGAATCATCGCGGCGTTCGTGGTGGGCCTATCATGCCTTACGCCTCTCCTCAAGATCCGCGGGTACGCCACGTGCTTCGCCGCCCCCCAGGGAGAGCCGGACTCCATCGCGGACATCTAAGTTTCGCTCTTCTTGCTTGATGGCCGCATGCACACTAGCACAAGCCCATAGCACTTGTGCAACTCATAGACCAACCATCTTGGGCCGCGTTTCGGACCAACGACAAGACTCTTCGGGGTCGGGCATGCCAGGGTGGGGCGTAGGGGTCGGAGGCACATGATTGTCGTCGTGTCTGATCGTTGATCGCGTGTTGCCCGCGATTGTCCCGCAGCTCAGATTGCTTGTGTGTCCCATTTTTTGGCTTCTTGCCGGGCGGGTTTAGGCCTGGATGTGCGTTCTTGTTGCAAAGCGCCCTAGCAAATAATGCGCATGCTTGGGTGGTACAACTGCCTTGTTTGAGTTCTCAACGGCGGTGTGTACTACTCTCGCGCTTTAATTAGGGCGCGGTATTGTTCAGAACAGGCTGCGGAGAACACCAAACACCTCTCTAATGTCGTGCTGTGAATCTTGCCGGCGTTTCGTCAATTGTTGGTTTATTACGAGGGTACATTGTGGCACGCTGCCAGCCCCTCTCGTCGCCTTGTTAGGATACCCTACCACGCGTTGTTGGCGGGATGGGCTGGGTCCCTGACTAATTAGAGTTGCAGCAAGAAGCGTGCGCGCCGCGTGCATGTTCTGCGGTTCCATCAAGCACATGTACATATTTTTATGCAGCAGATTGTACTCAAGATGGTAGGTTTGCGAGCCTCGGTGTAGGGCGCAAGGTCAATTTAGCTGTGTTGCTTCCTTGTCAGTTTGACGGAGGGCGTCAGCAAGAACATGTATCAACTTGCTGATGTCCGGTCCCTTATTGCCAAAATCAGCAGGTGTCTGAGACGGGGTGGTACATGGTACACAAGAAGGAGAACCTGTAAGACACATTGCTTTTTTTCGTCGGGACGTGGGGCGAGGTTTTCCCAACATCATAGTCAGAGATGCAACAGCACTCGGACTTTTTTATGTACTATTAACGTTAGCACCGCGCTGAGCGAGGGGTTGAGCACTTGGATATAATCATACCCAGTCCTCCCTACACTTGTGATTCTCGGATCTTTGTTTGTTCTTGTCGAACGCTGTCAGTCATGTCGTTCTTCATGGTCGTGGATTTGTAGGAAGCTCTTTTCAAAGGTTGCGCGGAATGTTCGGTCTTGCGGCTTTTTGGCGCAACGTGGGAATGTTCTCCTGTCCTCTTGCAAGGTTCGGGAATAAAGGTCTCTTCTTCTTAGGATGGAAGATGATGGGATAGGGGATAGGGAAGTCATTCCATGTACCACACATACGTATTACGTCTTGTTTTTGTTCGCGTCAGTCTGCGTGCATGTAGCATCGATGGATCTCGCCGATTGAACCGTTCCTTGCGGATTGCCACGTAGAACTGAACGCGAAATATATTCAAGTTTTGTCCACTCGCGGTGATCATTTCCCTTGGTTCGGAGGTAGGTGCCAACACCCCAGGGTCTGGGGGCTTTGGGAAATAGGTGGTTTCTCCAGGGGGTGCAGGAGGGCAGAGGAAACGATGCAGGATGCAATCCTCACCCCGTTTTCCCCGGGCAGAAGAAGGGGAATATTCCACTGACCGTACACTGCAAAAACGGAAACAAACCAATCAATGTGATTAAACTGTTGTTGAGAAATCCTGCGCTCGCAACGAGGCTTGGATTTTTCGCCACCGGCTGAGCCCCGAACCTCGTCGTCGAATTGTGGTCCAGATTTTTTTTGTCACACATAACAAACACGGTGTTTGTCACGGGCCACAAAATATGGGTTTTCTCCCGAGATGGTTCCATTTGAAACCGAGAACACCGTTCGTTGAGTTGAAACCAAAAATACCATCGAGAAACCCGATCGTCTCCCGGCAAGTTTTGCCCTGGAGAGAGAGGTAAAATTTATTTTGGGAGTATGTGGAGACACACACCCGTTCGGGTTCCGGTTATTACAAGCATTCTTCCCAAGCAACCAAGAACTTCAAGGGTTGTAATGAGATCCCTTCCTGAAGAGTTAATCACCTTTCTGCTGTGTGGAATATTGTCCGACCACAGATAGATAGATGCAGGTTGTTGTTGATTTCCTTTGTTCTCTCTCTTGATTATTAATAATGCTGTGACGTTCCAACGCAACCCAAGCCAACGCACACATATCTCTAGTACACACGATCAAAACAAACCCGATCGCACGTGTACACACACACGGAACCAGCACAGAACAGAAGGGCACATACATACATAATACATGCCTCGGCAGAAAGCCCGAATCTTGCACAATTACGTCGCATCACAGCAGCATATGATAATAATGCCAAATAACCATTCATTGTCAAGCACGATCGATCACATGCATGTAAGTACCTCCTAATAACACAACAGGCAGGGGGGATCCCCTTCAAAAGGGTGCAAACTTCCCAACGTCTGTCGGGGCCGACTCCCTATTTTCACAAGTATTACAAAAATATCCGAAGAAAAAGGAACCTTCAAAGTCCAGCTCCGTCCGGAGAACATGAACATTTTGCACGTACATCTATTAGGTGTAGTTTTTCTTGTGGTACATAGTAGGTAGGGTAGGCAAGGGTATACGCCAAAATAAATATATTCCGGACCCCCCCTCCAACCCCTCCCGGAGAGCAGTTCCGATTTCGGTTTAATAAAGGATTTAGTATAGGGGGCTTCGTTCACGAGAAGGTAAGTCATGACCCCCTCTACTGCGAGGGCTTTCTTTACACGGTGCCCCGCTCGCAATTATATAGAAATTAGAGTGTCCCTTTGCCCTCCCACCACCCCCCCCCTCCCCCCCCGCGCGCGGCCGGCCTCCGATTTCGAGGCAAAACCGCCACCACCGTCCTGCCCGTAAAAAAGTGTCCAGCTTTCCGTCCCCAAACCCTGGGATATAAAGGCGTGCATACGGCACTACCTACCTTAGGAGAGGCTGCTTACAAAGTCGTTTTTTTTTTTTTCCTTTGCACGATGCCATATTAGCATATTAGTATCTTGCCTGGGGTGGTAATTACTGCATGCACGCGTTTAGATTGAAACAACACAGTACAGGTGGCCAGTGGGCACCGTTGTACGGGGGCGTTGAGTAACCTCCGGCCAACGAGTGGTTATTACATGGGATAACGTAGGGGGCTTACAGGCCGAGCCGTCATAACGTGCCCGGGTTGTGAAGAAAGCGGTCATCATGCGAGGGTGGGTGTGAAGAGGGGGAGGGAGATAAAAAAGGGTCGAGGAAAAAAAAAATGTGTGTGGGTTTTCACCTTCTTCCACCCTGCGGTCGCGGTGCGCGAGACTTCGCCCGTCCGTGTCTACTAGCGCGCAGAATCTTGTCAAGGAAGAAAACACGAGTACGGGGGGATTCGAACCGGCGTATTACTAATATCAGAGTGTACATTCTACCGCTACGCAACGTGTTGTGACATGGCGTGTGCGACATGCACGTAAACCTAATGAATTTATAGTGGGGGGCTGAAAAAATTGTGTGGCACAACACCGCCCACGACGCGGCCGATAAGCGCACACTTTGCCGTCCCCCCCACCCAAAAGCAGAAACTCCGAATATTGTCGTCTTCCACTGCCAATCGTTTAATGGGAAGTTTTTGGTCAGTTAAGTTTTATGTTCCACAACAACAACATACCGTAAACGTCGGAGTTTTCCCCCGGGGGAGAGGGGATCGTTTTTTTCTGAAACCAACCCCCCCGGGGGGAAATTGACGTACCGGGGGGGGTTAGTTTTTTTTGTTCCAACGCTACCCCGAACAGACCCCCCCCCTCGGGGAGTTGTGCAAAATAATGATGGTCTACACACCAAACACACAGAGAGTGGCGAACTGAGATGGATAAGGTTTACGAGCAAGCGTTCAACAAACAGAGGGAGGAGGAACGTATGATGAGCAACGAAGGCGAAGAGAAAAAATACTGCAAGGAGAACAGCAGCAGAGGGAGTTTGTCTCGTCCCGCGAGTAATTCCAAGAAAAGGAAGGGCCCACCTTCCAGTGACAAACGGTACACCTAAATCTCGCTCGAAGCGCACATCTGCAACAATATTTTCCGTCCCATATCGTGCTTTTCGTGCTCCGCGATGCAACAAAATCGACTCAGAAAATTAGAGAAATACATCGCCCCGGGGGGGGACCCGTGGGAAAACTGGTACCCCGGGGGGGAATTGAAATACCCGGGGGGATATTTTCTTTTTTGTTCGAAAACGATCTACCCCGGGGCCAAATCAAAGAAACCATGCTTCCAGGCCGAAAAGGTAGTGGGGGGGCGTCCTCTTATGTTTTGCATGCCTTAGCGGTTAGACCATTGACCACGCGTCCTCGAGAGGACGGAGCATAGTTCCCACGGGACCGATCACCGATGGCCAATCGTTCCTTCCTACTTTGCCAAAGGTGGCTCAAAAATGTCTTCCCTAGTCTGCCTATCCTACCGATATCCCTTCCCGCCTTTTCAAACCACTTCCTACTCCCCAGTACAGCTACCGTCCTCTCCTCTCTATACCATGCCTCAAACATCTCCCCGTACGTCCCTTGTATTTTTCCCAGCTCAGTCATGTACACTTCCCTCTCCTCTTCGTACCACGAACATTCCGCGTCTACATGAACACGGTCTTCGCATTCGAAGCCGCAATTACATTTGAACTTACTTGTCGTCTTCGTCGTCTACCGTCCTATGTCTTCGTCGACGTTCTCGAAGGCCTATGTCCCCGGTCCTGAATTTGACCTTAAGCTTTGTCCCTGCATCCACTGGTCCATGTAGTAGGTAACCCTTGAACCCTATTACTTCTTTCAATATTCCGTACGCTTCTAGACCCTCCTTATCCTTGGTTTCTTTCCTTAGATTGTGTTCTTCTCTCTCGGCACAAGCAACAGATATCTTCTCCTTGAACCCCTGTAGACCCTCCGTTTCCAGCGTTTCATCTCAGATATCTTCTCCTTGAACCCCTGTAGACCCTCCGTTTCCAGCGTTTCATCTCCGTCGATGTCTAACCCCTTCCGTACGTCCTCTACAACCTTGACCCATTCCGTGGGTTATCTACCCCTCTTTTTGTTTGTCCACTTCGCCTCCCATACTATTCTCGGCAACGTCTCCTCTCCTATAGTGGGGGGAGGGGAAAGCTCTACCAGGGGGGGAAACTCCGACGTTTACGGTATTATGCTAGGCGACAAATTCTTTTCAGATATATATATATTCGACCGCTACATGAAGTAATTTTTAAGGAGACAGACTTTCGTACGTGTCGTCGTATTGACTTTTACAGAGGCATCGTATATTATTATCATCGTCTCTCTCTTTTTCGCAGTCTTTTCTTTCTCCCCCGATCGTTGCCGTTCGTATTTCTAACCCTAGCCCCAGCCCTAACCCTAACCCTAACCCTAACCCTAATAATCATATCAAATAGTAGGTCCATGTCTATGTTGCTTCTGGTACTACATAATGATGAGAAAAGATACAGATTACACTCGCACTTATGTATTTAGTGGTCAAGAAATGAGGCCTCGAAAAAAATCAAAATCAAAGAAATTGGCCATAAGAACACGTGCTCAGTCCCGACGTGGTGTTAAGGACAAGAACCCGCCTTCGTGGTGTAGACTAACAATGAATCAATGTGCTTACCGATAAGAACAGAGCCCCAAAACGCGGCAGCTGCAAGAAGATAAGAACTCACGAAGGGGTGAGGGGCTACTCGCGGGCTGACCGGTGGGCAGTTACAGATCAGCGGCGAGGAGGGGGTTCCTTTGAAATAGTACTGGTGCGGAGGGGGGGGGGCGTACTCTTATGTTTGCACGGTGTAGTCAACTAAAATCGGCCTTACAATGCCGGCACTTTTTTTGTAGCTGTTTAGGTATTTCTTTATTGCCGCGAATGAATGTCAAATATATTGGTGTGTGTACTCTGTGGACAACGGCGGGTAGTTTTCGCGACAAGGCATGGACATTCTTGGGCTTGGACAACCTCGCCTGTAACCTCGTACGGATACAGATGGGTTTAGGGCGGCGTTTCCGAACCTTGCCTGACCTTGGACGGTTGAGAACGGTGTGCCCGAGGGAGTTACGCAGGTCGCACAACGCCTAGGGGTTACAGGTCGCTTTAACCCCCCCGTAACGGTGCCCACTGGCCACCTGTGAACCAGACAGACAGAGAAAAATCCCATTGATTGGGTGTCGTCGGTGGTATCAGCGGACAACATAACACTGACTACCGCTCACCATGTTCGGTTATTTAAAGCGGGGAATCAAGTATCCCGGCCATCCATGTCGGTCCGTTGGCAGTAAATGATGACGATACGTAACACCTACTACAGAACAGCCTTCCTTCCTTTTTTTTTTTTCTTACCATGACACAACAATAAATCCATCTCTATCTACAGAAAAAAGTCTAAGATAGATCAGCAATGAATCCATAGCGTCAGCGAAGGGCTATTCTTTTCTCGGTGAGACAACACAACCAACAGTCAAGTCAGCCATACGTACGTTTGTTTGTGGAACATCGAAGCGGGCTGAACCATTTTTAGGGTGACGGGGTGTCCTCCAGCCGTTCGTTCGGTGTTCGGCCTCCTCTCTCTCCTCAAGAAGACAGAGCGGGTGTTGCATGCAGCGACCGGCGGAATAGTTGGGCCACCACCGCCGTGTGAATGTTTCTGAAGAGCAGCAGCCCGTTATTTTAGGCGGTGGTTTTACCGGTCATATGCTACCGACGGAACACAGGGGTGGGGTGGCGCCAATATATACACTAGAGAGTATGTCACAGCAGCGGCCGTGGCGAGGGCCCTGTTTCTACGATATTTCTCTCCTGAGAGTCCCCACCGAAAAGGGCTCTTCTTCTACTAGGTCGAAGTACAAGATACATACTATACTCCCAAGGAGACTATGTAGAATATCAACCTTCCCGCCAAGCCGCGGGAAGGCTTACTTTTGAGGCTGCCAACTAAATCATCACCGGGGCGACCAGCATTATTGTTGTGGTGCCAGTACAAGCTAAACCCGTGTCTCACGTGTTTTTGTTAGCGTCGTTGTTCTTACGACAACCTACCAGAGGAAAGGACAGCAGTTGCATGTGATGTATGCGTCCGGCATCCATCGTTAATCAGCAGCAACAGTTTTTACACGGATATGTATCCTGCAAGAGAGGCAAAGGCGTAGTAAAACCCTTTTCCAACTCAGCCAAGGACACCTGGTTTCAAGTGGCGGAAGCCCTGTCGGGTTTTTAATATTGTCTCCACCCACAAATTCTTCTGGACTCTCCCACAAAATCAATACCAGTGCGAATGTGTGCCCATGGTCACAGCATGACCCAAAAGACAGATAGATGTGATGCTGAACCAAGAATACTTACCCAAGAATAGACCATCCAGAAGAGTGGTCTTTCCTCTTCCTACACGTACAGAACATGGACAATCTCATACAATGCAACAGGGTGCGATCTGACGTTTCCACATCAAATCGTTCCGAAACTACGCCTACATTATTTCCTCCATTGATGACATACAAGAAGACAAGATTCCGACCCTAATCGGCCCATCCCTCCCTCCAACACACACCCAGTGGGAGGAAAAATATGGACCTGGACTCCCACAGTTTACACACGCAGGTATATATCGGCTGTATACTCAAAAACAATCGCGAACGTGGTACGCTTACGGGGGCTATAGGCACAAACGCGTGATTTTTTCAAGCCGACATCAATATACGAACTATTTGATCTCCTCCGTCTCTCTTATGTCTCTCTCCTATTCTCTGTGTCTGTCTGTCTGTCTGTCTGGCTCTCTCTCCATCAGTCTCTCTCTTATCGATACCGGATAACAGCGACCAAAACGTATCATGCCCCAAAGCACAACCGCGAAGATTACCACCAGCCCCGACAGAGGCCACCAGACGATTTTTGATAGCACCCGGACATCCCAAGCTCTTGCGAACGAGCTAGATGACGATACAATTTTTTCAGGCGGGAAATATGTGTAGTACGGTGCCGATAGGCGAAGTAAAGCACGCAATAAAAACATTTAGATGTCCGCGATGGAGTCCGGCTCTCCCTGGGGGGCGGCGAAGCACGTGGCGTACCCGCGGATCTTGAGGAGAGGCGTAAGGCATGATAGGCCCACCACGAACGCCGCGATGATTCGGAACACCGCCCTCTCGCTCCTGCCCGCGAACCGGAAGATCAGACCCCACATCACCGCGCCGAAGTTACCGCCGGCGCCCACGATGCCCGACACCGCGCCCGTCGCGTCCGGCACGATGTACGGCACGATGCCGTACGAGGTGCCCTCCGCCATCTGCACGCCCACGGAGAAGAGGATGAGGACGGGGATGGCCGCACCAAGTTGGTTCATGAAGGTGAAGAGGAAGAGGAAGCAGCCTTCCCAAAGGAGGGCGGACCACTGGGCGAAGAAGCGTCCCCGCATGCCGGTAACGCCGCCGCCGAACTTGGCGAACAGGAAGTCTGTCGTCGTTGTTGTAGGCGTTTTGCACGGGGATGGGTAATTTGTCCGGGGGAGACGCAGAGCGGGCACGGGGCGTGGGGGGGAGGGTGAGAGGGAGTGCTCAAGGTCGACACGACTTGTCTGGTGGAGGGAAGATGCATCACTTCACCCTGTTTCGACCATGTATCGACACAAAAAGAGAGGTTCCAAGCGACATGCACGTGGTGCCTTGCCGTTGCAACGCTTCGCGTATGTGTCAGGTCAGGAACGCACTCTACGGGATCGATACATCCGAACAAGACACGGACGGTGTGCGGTCAACCATCTCCAATACCGTAGCAGCACCGGCCAATACAGTCGCGTGTCGTGCGTACTCACCGGACCAGATGCCACCCAGAGAGCGGGCGAAGAGGTTCATGAGTCCGAACAACGACGCCACGAGACCAGCCTTGGAGGTAGACAGGTCGAACTCGTCCGAGAAGTAGTTGGCCGCCACGTTGTTGACCGTCAGCTCGACGCCGAAGCAGGCGGCGTACTGGAGGAACATGAGCCATGAGTTCACGTTCATGTAGCCCTGCTCAGCGAATGGGGAGGCGATTGAATGGGGGGGCAAGGGGGCAAGCGAACGGTCAAACGTGAGAGATGGTAGATGGCAGCAGCAACGGGTAAGAATGGAAGAGAGACCGTTCCGCATGATGCTGAATAGTCACCGCACCACCAAATCAATCGCGCCAAGACGGGGCACACTATAGCATGTATCAGCTAAACTCGACTACACTGAACTCTGGAATAGGCACGGGACCAAAACCGCCTCATTCACCTTCTTGAAGGAAACGGCGGAGGACTTGCGAGTCATGGCGCCGTGCGCCTCGAGCTCCTTGTAGTTACCCTTCGGGCTGTCATCGGCGAGGAACAGCTGGCCCACGGCAACGCAGAATACGATGGCCGCCGGCACGAGGAACGAGAGGCGCCACGCCGTCTCGCTGTCGTAGCTGGTCTTGAAGGCGTTCCAGATCGCCACCATGAAGATCTGCGTGCGTAGATCACGGAAGGGAAAGGAGGGATGATTAGTGGGAAGGATGGCAACCGGGCCTCGGGTAGGCAAGGTGGCAAGACTTCGCGATATTGCGTTGAGCAGGGCCTTGTGAGGTATGGGCGGGCGGGGAAGGTGTGGTGGAAGGGATGCATTCAGGGTCAAGCGAAGTCTCAAACGCGGTCTTGAGTCATACTTGGTTGTTCAGGATTGGATCCCAGAAGCTGGAGATATGATCTGATCGTACTTGCTTCTTGTGTGTGCTTGGTTCTGTTCCTGTCCCTTGTCTCTGCCTGTCTCTCTCCCCCCTTGGCCTCTCTCTCTCTCTTTGCTCCGACGCACCTGAGTGACACCGCCACCCAGGTTTCCCCAGCCTCCGGTAGTGGCGTTAGCCGTGCCGACGAACTCCTTCGCGAAGATCTGCGAGGACCAGAACTGCGTGCACACGAACGTGGCGCCCATCACGCCGATGAAGAAGCGGATGATGGCCACGTCGGTGGCGCTGTTCACCAGGCCGGCGAAGGCGGTCGGGATACACCCCATGATGAGCAGGGTGCTGGAGATGATTCGCGCGCCGAACGTGTCACAGAGGGGGCCCACGATGAAACGCGAGAGCACGGTGGAAGACACGGACGAGATGTTGGCGTTGTACACCTCGAGCTTGGTCATGCCGAGGTCGGCCTTGATCTCCTTCATGAGCGGGGCGAAGGCGAACCAGGAGACGAAGGCCATGAAGAAGCCGAACCACGCGAAATGGAAGGCTCGCATGTGGGGGCGCCGGAAGCTGTAGAGCTTGAACATGGTGGCCTTGTCCTGCTGCTTGGGGTCGATGGGCACGTCATAGCTGTCGTCTGCGCGTGGAGTCGTAGTCGTTGGTGAGCGCGTGGGCAGGGGGTGGATGGGCGGGTGAGCTCACGGTCGATTGGGCGAGGATGGAGGGCACGATCACGTGAAACGAATGTTCTTCCTGTCGTACCGCTGGGTTTCTTTCTCTTCGTTGCCCGTTGGGCACCGAGAAAGTACGCCAATAATCGAGTTGGGGGGATATATTTGCCGTTCGAACTTCGAGCGAGAAGTGACAACCTGCAGCGTCTGGCTCCGTCGATTTCCCGATTTGGGTTGGGTTATTATGTACGTGATGTTTCAAAAAGGCGAGTCAACCTCCATTAGATTTGTTGAGGTCTTGTGCCTTGACGAAACATTTCAACACCAACGTTCTCCTACCTAGACTCCACATTAACCAGTCCCTCGTTTTCACGTCTAATATTCGTGAAGCGTGCGGTTAGCGCCGTTCGCGATGCTGTTGTCACCCAGATCTTTTTGTTCTTGTTTTTTGTCTTCACTTCAAATCAGCGCACTAAAATAAATAGTGCCGTTCACTCCAACCCGTGGTCACACAGAAGAGCCCCTCTCTCCCCTCTCGTCCTGCGGTACTTTGCCTTCGATGTTTAATGCGAGAAGAGTTCAGCACTCTCTTCCCTCTGTGTACACACGAACTAGCGCTATCCACTGGGCCAGGAGCGGGAAGCGAGAGAAAAACTCAATTTGCGAGAAAAGCTCGCTTACGCCGGGATTCAAAACCCTTGACCTGACCTCTGGAAGATTTCCAGAATACCAACTAGACCACCGGGGCGAGCGGATTCCCCGCCCACTAGACTAAGGCATCCAGTCTAGACTACATCTCTCCACGTGAGCCCCGACAGTATCTAGGTTGCTGCAGTAGTATCCGTGGTATCGTTGAGCTCACATTTCTTCCAGTCCGACATATTTGGGCGGTGACGTGAGGTAGATCGCAGCGGAGTGAGCGAGGTGCGGGCAAGCTTTAGGAACGTACCGCTCCACCTGTACTTTGCTTGGTTTCCGCACGTGACCCGTAACTAGGAAGGGGGGTTTCCACTCGCTTGGAGCTTTTCACCTTCGCCTGTCCTTCGAGCGAAGTACTGAAGTACTCTGTCCTCTTTGTCGGATCACAAAAAATGTGAGGACCGCCGTGTGAATTGCTGCGCTACCGAGCTGCCGAGGGGGGCTGTTGGGAGAAAAGAAGGTGGATTCGCCGAGAATGCGCGGGACTGTCAGCGATGAAATGCGCGGGACTGTCAACATGCCCTGTAGATTCTGATGGGCGGCGGGCGGCGGGCGCCACAATAGGAACGTGAACGGTGTTTCGGGCTGTTGGGCTGTTGCCGAAATGAGCGGAGTAGTGAGGGCGAACTTCGGTGGCACTGCGCGACAACGGCGAGGGTTGCGGGGTAAACCACCGAGGGTTTGGTTTCTGTGGGCCTCTTTGTGACGGGCGCACGCCTCCGATTATTGTCCATGTGAACGCACACCGAGAGAATGCCCACCGACCACCGAGACTCCACCGCAGCCGTGCAATCCGCATCATGCATATCTAAGCAAGAACGTCAGGGGGCAAAGCATTTGGCACAGACGTACAGCGGGGGAAGCAGCGATGGAGCAACGTTGAAGGTGGGCGGGGGATCAAAATGTCTGGTTTGTGTGTCGTCGTGTCGTCCCGAGTTCGCTGTCGTACCTCATGGTTGTACATTTTACAAGAGATGGAAGCCCTGTTGACAGCAGACTACTGTTGTACATATCTTCTTATCTTGACTGCGGTACTGCTGTAGATATATTGGAAGGTTCATTGGAAGGTGAAGGTTCAGTTTTCTCACCTCTTTTGGAGGGCAAAAAAACGGATGTGTATACCTATGCTATGGTCAGTATAGTCTATTACAAAATCGGTTGTATCGCTAACGCAAGTAACCAGAACGCTGTAAAGGTGGCCCTGAGGCTGCATCCAGCAGTAGATTGAAATAAAGAGTACGTCGCTATTGGCCTAGACTACGTGCTGTTGGGCAATTGCTAAACGACGGAGTGAAGTTCGGCGACTCAGAACGCCGAGATCCCCGTGCCTTTACATGTAAAAGAGTTTCCCAATCGAGATTTTCTCGTCAAGGCGTACGCTCTGTTGTTTGTCTGAGATGAAGCTATCATTGAGAGCAAGTCAACAAGGGCCTCGGGGGGGTGTTTTCATTTGGGTCAGGTGAAAACACACGCTGCGGCTGGCTGTGTTCTATCTCCTACGCGAAAGTGCCACGAAACAAAATCCCTACGAAAAGAGTTTCAACGGTACAATATAAATACGTAATATTTTTGCAGAAAAATTGCAGGAATCGGGAGGTATCATCGCCCCAATGCTGCTGTGCAAGCGCGCACTTGCTGGCGACAGCGGGGATGGTATTGCATTGCTACCCCGAGCTGGAAACTCTCGGGCGACAGCAGCGTAGTTAGTCTCTGTGGCCGAGGCAAAAGCGACGATGCTTCCATCCCATACTTCCAGCGGACAAGAGGAGGTTTCAGTGCCGGGTGGTACTGACTTTTCCAAAACACGACAACAACTGCACTACTGTACGCCTCGTTCCGTTCTATGTAGGTCGTTTTCATCTCTGTAAAGAAACCGCTTTGTGAATATTGAGAAGCACCATGACCACCAGTCAGCGCTGCTGGTAGCCTATCCAGTGGCATCATGCTTCTCAATAGTAGAATCTGCGCTGAACGTTTCGCGGAGTGAGCGGTAGTCCCCCAGACGCGGTCTTCATGAAGCAAACAGGGGTTGGTGCCGTAGCGGCCAAACTCAACCAACGAGGCGCTGCGTGTCGTGGCACCGAGTACGGAACGGGCCCGGGGACAAGAACCGTCAAAATCGGGTCGGGGCTCACTTTCTTGATTTGTCGCCACCTGTGGAGAAAAAGTTGTTATATAGTAGAGTTTAGTTTCAGGGTCCACCGCTGACGTGTGCCTCTTCACCCATCTTTCCTATCTTTTGTGAAAATATGAGCCTGCCTGTTTCTAAACTAGATATTGCTTTACTGCGGGCCCGTACTGCTGTACGGATAGTCGTTGTTCAGGTCCTCGCAGAAGCAAAACGATATCATCCCTACATAGTTCCCCATCATCGTAACATCGCCGCCGCGGCCAAATCATCTGTCGACAAGGTGGAAAATAAACCTTCTGTCGATGAGAACACCGGTAGCTGGATATAGGAGCAGGCTGAAGGACAACGCTAACCCTCGTCTCCACGTCGTGCTACTTTGTCCAACTCGGTGTCTCATCTTGCTCTGTCAATATCATTTAAACGTCCATTTTCAAGACAAAACACATAACCGGATTGTCCAATTACCCGACTCGCCGTAGAAAGCCTACTGACTCGGTCACCGTAGTTCTTGGACCGCTTGATGCCTTTGTTGGCAATGTTGATATTTTGGAGGAAAGAAACGAGTACCAATAAAAGGCAGGTCGGCTTCCACCACCGTGTTGATTGGAAATATATGTACTGAGAAGGTTAAAACCGAGGGTTTCTATTTCTTCCCACGAAGGGAGAAGTCACATATATTTGCCACTAATAACTCAACGATACCGCAGCGCGACAAGACTCCTCCGTGGATTCATTAACAGGACGACTGGTAGATTTTTGTTTCGAAACGCACAATCAACGCCGGTGTGTACAGTAAGTGAGGCCGATCAGTTTCGTTGTTCAATATCCCCAACTAATTGCGTGTCGCACAGTTGTCGACGTGAGGACCGGCGCCTCTTGTTGGCGATGCTTGACGGCATGGTTTTTTGCTTTGGAAACACTTTGAAACTCTCGCGCCGTACTTGCAACATTGAGCCTTGGTACACCAGCGCAAAATAGTTCCCGTGTGCAATGAAAGATGGCTAGATTCCTGTTCTAGCCGGCTGCTGGTTGCCTTCTCTTGAACAAAAGTCGTGTAGGGGGGCAAAAAAAAACACTCAGGCAAGGCCAGACGGTTCACTACTACTAACAGGCGGTTTTGCACCGTCACCCCGAGAGGTGCACCGTCACCCCGAGAGGTGCTGAACGGGGTAAAAAATGCAAGTGCCTTGCGTGGCAAAACTCACAGATCCAAGGAGTCTTCAGAATGTCCAGGGTCTCAGACGTTGTGTTTTTCGGTGTTACCACTCTGTCCAAGAGTATCCAGTGTCCCAGGAAAAAGACCCATCACAAGTTTTACGTTTAGATTTACAACCCCGAATTTCATTATTTTGTATTCCCTGGTCACAATTTGCGACGATTTCGATCGATTGCAAAGGTGAAGCCTACCGTAGGTTGCATAGGACACCACACCCTCCCCCTGGACCGATTTTCAAAGTTCGATTACTCCACGACCAAGAGGGTGCCGAAGGCAAACGGTACGTATTCGAAAAGCTCTCGATGGGACGGTTCCAACTCCACCATTTTTCCGGCGCCGTCACTTCTTTTCCTTGCCGAGTAATCAAGCTTTCGAAATCGGCCCAGGGGGTGTGATATCTTACGCAACATACGGATGAAGCAATTTGCGTAGATTTCGATTGCTGAGTAAGGTGAAGCGGCGATGCACCTAACGACAACAGAGATGTCATGACTGTGAAAGCTAGTACCGCTCAACCTGTGTACGCCTATCGGGCGCTCTTGGCTGTGAACGGAAAAAGGAAAGAGCTCAGGACAAGTTGTTCATTGGGCTCGGTGCCGAGAGATCGAGGAAGAAACGACTCCTACAAGGGAAACCTGGAGGCGTCCGATCGCTGTGCGCACAGCGCAGGCCGCAGGTACCCAGCATGCGTTTTTCCATTTGCTTATTTTCTGCCATTGGAAGGTCGGTGCACGAGATTTGATCTCCCCGCTTCTCCAACAAAGCGTAGCCCTCTCTTCCACGGGCTTTTGCCTCAACAGCAGTTGGCTCTTGCCGTAAGGATTGGGGTTAAGGTTAGGGCTAACCCCAAGTATGACAACAAAGCGCCGAAGACCCCGGAAATGTCTTGGAAAAAAATAGTAAAATCGAAAGAAAACTGCCGCACGCGCAAGGCCTGCGAGACGCAGACGCCGCCTCTCTCATTGAAAAGGGTGAGATGTTCGATGGTATGAGGCAACTCGTTGTGATGACCTCTACCGTACAAGAGTGGCCTGCACGTAAACCTACAGAAAATATATACAACTCTCTCCCGCCCTTGCATCTCCGATCTACCCTCTCCTAGTGGCAGCGGTGGGTGTAGTACCGGACCGATCTCCGGTTTCAGCGGTAATCCTTGCACCAAAGGAGGGTTGGGCCTATGATGCATACAAGGGGTACGTCCAGTGCTCGGCGCAAGAGCTCGCAAAAAAATAAACACAAATAGGAGGCACAGCTGCACGCGCAAACAACGGTATTATTGCAAGTACACAGCAGTGTTGGCCGTGACCAGTAAGCAAGAGACCCAGCCGTGAGCATAGGAGTTGCCGGCAGCTGCTGTGCGCAGTACAACGAATAGAACTCTCATTTGACGCCGTCACCGGTCGCCACAAACGTTGCGCAACACGAGCAAAAAACGAAATATTTCGCATCGTATCCCTTATGCTGTGAACAAGGTACTGTATCTACATCGGCCAATGCCAAGTCAACTTGATCTACTATGTGTTTGATATCGCTACATCGTTAAGCAAACAACTCATCTGTCGGTCCCTTCTGTCGGTTCCTTGGTGAATGAAATAACACACGAGCGCAGTACGTCTTTGCAGAAAAATCGAACAAAGCGGTAGTTGCGAGACCAAGCGTGTTATGTGCGAGGCAGGGGCAAACAACAGGGCACCCGCTCCAACACGACAGTGCGGCCACAAGGCCGCAGATAAAACACCTAAAACGCCCGTTCCCAGAAATTCTACAGTCGTGACAACCATAAAAACGCAGCCTGTCAACCTTTTCGCCTCCTTCGGCCTGTGGCCATCTCTGTGCCGCTTCACCCCCCCCCCCTTCCCTCCTCTCCACCGATAAAATAAAAGCACCTCGCAGATGGTCCAGAACGACCCGTACGATGCCAGCATCGAGAGTGTTCCCTAGGAGCTCTTCGACATAGTACAAAGCAACAACCCATCACGCGCTGCGATGAAAGACTCTTAGATCTCCGCGATGGAGTCTGGCTCTCCCTTGGGCGCACCGAAGCACGAGGCGTACCCGCGGATCTTCATCAACGGCGTCGTGCACGAGAGGGCAACCACGATCGCCGCGATGATTCGGAACACCGCCCTCTCGCTGGTGGGGCCGAACCGGAAGATCAGACCCCACATCACCGCGCCGAAGTTACCGCCGGCGCCCACGATGCCCGACACCGCGCCCGTCGCGTCGGGCACGATGTACGGCACGATGCCGTATGAGGTACCCTCGGACATCTGCACGCCCACGGAGAAGAGGATGAGGATGGGGATGGCCGCACCAACCAAGAGTGTTCATGTAGGTGAAGAGGAAGAGGAAGCAGCCTTCCCACACGAGGGCAGTCCACTGGGCGAAGAAGCGTCCGCGCATGCCGGTCACGCCCGCGCCGAACTTGCGGTAGAGGAAGTCTGCCAAAAATGATAAAACATTGGGTGCGGGAAAGAGGTCAGCGAAGGCGTTGGGTGAGTTGGAGGCTTTCCAACAAGACAATGCGTTGGAAAATGATACGTGCTTCAGCAAGCAAAAACAAAAATATAACTCGTGTCGTGCGTCAGGAAACCGGCATATCGCACTGGCACATGATATCTACCGGTAAACACAATAGTCTACGTGTCGTCGAAAGTGCTTCGGGCACGTGAACCCACTTTGGGCGCGTAAAACCACCGCATTACAACAAAAAACATGGCCGGACTACGATACTCAAAGCTGGGTTGCCTGGCAAACGTTCTTGTGGGCTTCCAAGACCTACATGCGGACGCCCCAAGCGAAGAGCGACATCCTTTTCCAGGGAAATACACGTATTTTCCGCTTGTTTGCAACGGCCAGATCTGCGGCCCACCCAGAACGGAAAGCACTCGATGAGAAACACGAACAAGCGCAATAGACAGCGGAGCACCAGAGGCACATATACCTGCCTCGGCCGAAAAGACTCACCGGACCAGATGCCGCCGACCGACCGAGCGAAGAGGTTCATGAGCCCAAACAATGACGCCACCATACCCGCCTTGGAGGTCGACAGACCGAACTCGTCAGAGAAGTAGTTCGCCGCAGTGTTGTTGACGGTCAGCTCGACGCCGAAGCAGGCGGCGTACTGGGCGAACATGATCCATGAGTTCACGTTCGAGTAGCCCTGCTCGGTGGACATCAATTCACAGGGCGATAAAGCACATGGTTGCGTACGTCAGGCAGGGGAGTGAGAGGATCTGCTTAAGCAAAAGGGACGGTGCGAATGAGTTGCATCATGCACTTGTATTTACGTCCATGTGACTCGCATTTTTATCACACGAGGTTATTACCGTACGATCGGCCCCCATAGACGACGTATGTATACATAGCACGGCCTGATGAAACCACCTTCCCGTCCTCTGCGAATCAAACGTACTGAGAACTGTCAGGTCACCTTCTTGAAGGAAACGGCGGAGGACTTGCGGGTCATGGCACCGTGCGCCTCGAGCTCCTTGTAGTTACCCTTGGGGCAGTCGTCGGCGAGGAACACCTGACCGATGGCGACGCAGAACACGATGGCCGCCGGCACGAGGAACGAGAGACGCCACGCGGTCTCGCTATCGTAGCTGGTCTTGAAGGCGTTCCAGACTCCCACCATGAAGATCTGTGAAAATGTACGGCAGGCGAGGAGATAAGAGGGCGTCGCAAAGCGAGAGGGAAACGTCATGACAGGAGGTACTGAAAGCTTACCTTGTACGGCACCAGAGAGCAAGCATTGAGATCGTGCTTCTGTCGACAGGTGAGTGGTGGTTGTTGTGTATCTGGAGCTTCCAGCGAAGGGAGAGTTGCTGCTGCCATGCACTCATGACCGAGGGTGATGGGAGTTGACTATCGGGTCAACAAACGAGCAAAATCCTACTTCATACGTACAACTACAGGTTGTTGTGAAAGTGCGCACTTGATTCTACAGAATTACCGTATATGACACAAGATAACACACCCCCTGGGACCAATATCCAAAGCTCGACTACGCCACGACGAAGAGGATGCATAAATGAAACAACACATTTTCGGAAAGCTCTCGACGAGAAGCTTCAACGCCACTGTTTTCGGCGCTGAGAAAATGACATTTGAAAATCGGTCCAGGGGGTGTGTTGTCTCATGTCCTTTACGGTACGTTCATCCAACTCTTTGCGACAACCAAGGGACTGCTGTTGTTCCCGCTCACGACGCACCTGAGTGACACCGCCGCCCAGGTTTCCCCAGCCTGCGCTGGTGGCGTTAGCCGTGCCGACGAACTCCTTCGCGAACACCTGCGACGTCCAGTACTGGGTGCACACGAACGTGGCGCCCATCACGCCGATGAAGAAGCGGATGATGGCCACGTCGGTGGCGCTGTTCACCAGGCCGGCGAAAAAGGTCGGGATGCAGCCCATGAGCAGCAGGGTGCTGGAGGTGATGCGCGCGCCGAAGGTGTCGCAGAGGGGGCCCACGATGAAACGCTAGAGAATAGTGGAGGACACGGACGAGATGTTGGCGTTGTACACCTCGTTCTTGGTCATGCCGAGGTCGGCCTTGATCTCCTTCATGAGGGGGGCGAAGGCGAACCAGGAGACGAAGGCCATGAAGAAACCGAACCACGCGAAGTGAAAGGCTCGCATGTGGGGGCGCCGGAAGCTGTAGAGCTTGAGGGTGGTCGCCTTGTCCTGCTGCTTGGGGTCGATGGGCACGTCATAGCTGTCGTCTTTTTTGTGTTGCGGGGGTGGATGGTGGTAAGGGAGACCACGGGGCGGAGACGGGGCGGGGTGGTTTACTCAGATTTGGCGTCCAAGTGTGTCGCATGTCAGGTCTGATACATGGTTTTGAAGCGGGAGAGCGAATCCGCCAATTGATGACGCCAGGATATTCCAAGATCGTAGGCAATGTACTGCTGTGGAGGGAGGCAACCGATTGGCACCGTTAAGATTTCTATCATGACTGACTGCGGTCTTCTACCATGCTGCTACAGCAGTAGACTAGTAGTGCTGCCGATAGGCGGTGTGAAGGATTCCGTCAGTTCGGAGCACTTTGTCAAGAAGGCAGGCAAAAACCGTTCGCCAGGTGCTGCTGTGTCGCCGCATGCCAAAAAACGTTTTGTTGGGGATTCCGAAGCATATATTGTCGTATGGTACCTTCTTCCGCCGTGTTGGTGGTTGGCGAGGCGAGAATCGTATGGCAAAATTCATTCCCAGCCTTGCGAAGGGCTCTGTCCCTCCCGGTAATTCTACGTCGATCGCTTCGGATGCATACATACCCTAGAGAAACGTATGCTTAGGTAGTAGCCCTTTACTTCGAAGTTTTACACGTTGCATAGAAGGCTCGTGGAGCAAACATTTATTTGTTGATCGGGGGCCGCTCGCTGCAGTACGTACTGCCCTGCCTCATCAACACACCATGTACGTGCACATGTATGTAGTCTAGACTAGGCAAACTCACATTTCTTCCATTCAGACATCTTGAGGGCAGCTCTGGTAGAGGAAGGAAAGGGAGAAGAGGAGAGCGAGGGTTAGTGAGGGTGGTAGGGGGCGGGTGAGGTTCCTCAGTGGGGTGGGCCGCTGCCACTGGCATGACGCCTTTATTACTGTAGGAAGATCTTCCAGCACATACATACTCCATATCCATGTATGAAGAGCGTCAGAATCCTAGCGGCGTGGTACCCACATGCATCATGCATCATGCATCCTCGCAACCCGCATTTTTTTTTTTTTGTCTTCACTTCAAATCAGCGCTCACAGCGCTAGTAGTGCCATTTATTCCAATCCGCGGTCACACAGAAGAGCCCCTCTCTAGCCTCCCCTCCTGTGGTACTTTGCCTTCGATTTTTAATGCGAGAAGAGTTCAGCACTCTCTTCCCTCTGTGTACACACGAACTAGCGCTATCCACTAGGCCAGAAACGGAAGCGAGAGAAAAACTCACTCTGCAAGAAAAGCTCGCTTACGCCGGGATTCGAACCCCTGACCTGACCTCTATCTAGAAGGTTTCGAGGATACCAACTAGACCACCGGAGCCCGCATACAACACATTCGGAAAAACTGCCGTTGCGAGACTGTCACACACTAGGAAAAAATCAAGTAGTGACGTTATGCCGTATGACGTTTTCTTCGTGACTGCTGACCTGCTGCTGACCGGAAACATCCACAAAAGTGTTCTAAAAAAAAAAGAAAGAATTTTTTCACGCTCGCAAGCTTCTAGTGACGTCACTGTTGACCGGTTGTCAGCCAATCAACATACCGGATTCCTCCAAGTTCTATCAAAGTTCGATAAAGCTTCCTTCCTGCGGCTGAAGCGCTTCGCCCGCACTTCACTCCACCCTCCTCCCCCTCCTCGAAACCGGCGCGTTCACGAGCCGCACTCATCACACAACCAATATTCCGCGTACCTGACCTTCTCGTCCAAGAGCCTACCTCACAGCATCATGTCGGACTGGAAGAAATGTGAGAAGATCGAGAGAACACGCAGCAGGCACACATCAGTGGCGCTTTGTCCCTGCGTTTTCCCACGCCCATGCCCATTGCAACTGGGCCCATGTGGCGTACTCACTAGATCGGTCGCTGGATCCTACCTCTCGGCTTGCCACCTTGTTCGGATTCTCTTCTGTCAGAGTTTAGATGAATGGTAGTCTTTTTTTAGTCCAGTGGAGAAGGATATATATATGTAGTCCACATGGCGACGGTAGCAGCGAGTGGCCTACCAGCGTGATGGGTTAGTGGAGGCAAAGGAAAGCGTATGCACCATCAAGACAACACAAATGTACGTTGTAACACACTAGGGTACCTGGATTGACACGAAAGAAGATACGCATCATGTGGGTGGTTTTGTGCCATCTTCTAGTAATCTCGCAGCAAGAGGGTTCTCACACACGCTCAGCTCGTTTTTTTTGTATAATCACGTACATATAATAGTGTGGCTGTGTCCTCGGTGCTTCTACCCTGTGGGCTCTCTCGTTCCATACCCTCTGTGGATCGCTCTCAGACCTCGGAACATACACCCTGCTGTCCCACCCACAACATGCGCATGAAACATTTCGATTTAAAATAATCTAGACACCGGCTACCGGTGCCGCTTTTTGGCGCAGACCGCGTGTCTTTCCGGTCATGACAGACTGAAAGTTCGCTGCGTGCAGCGATGGGCTGCAGTAGTGCAGCAGTAGCAAGCAAGCCCGGCACCACGTAGTACGCAGCAGTGTATCCTGACGTCTATCGTACGTACAGCAGGTGGTCCGAACAAAGTGGCTTGCTTGTTGTGTGGAATTGTTTCTCGATCTTGCATACGCAGATGAGATAATGCCCGCCGATGCCAATATTTAATGTTTTATTCATTTACTTTTTGATGTATTCTTCCGCGGATTGCACATGTACCTGTAGTACAAAGATATGACTGTTGCCACTGCCACATGATCCGCCACGAAACCCGGCCGAGATGATCCTCGTTTTGGGAACAATACCCTGGCGTAGCTCAACAACAGCTGCAGTCAGCAAGCGTTTTCGCTTTTTGTTTAGATCAGGGTCATTTGTCAGTAGCACCGTCACCACCGCGTTGACAATTTGAATTTTTTGAATTGTTTGGCTTTGCGGTCTGTAATGACACTCAAATATTTTTTTGGGTCTGTTTTGGAAATCTAGTTATTTCCCAAGCTCGGTTCTAGCTCGGTTCTCATTCTTGCCGTGGTGTAAAACCAAACATGTTACATCTTCCGTAGTTTTTGGGCGAGACAAATATTATTCATGGAGCACACGTTCAAGTGGTGAAGGCCTAGAAATTTTTGCCTCCTGCGGAAGGCCGAGCTTGGTACTTCCGAGGTAACGTGATGACTTGACCTCCTGCCATTTTTTTTGTGGCACAATTAAAAATTCTCCGTAGATCAGCAGTCGTTTTCTCATCCGAACCGATGCACAGCCTGTCCATGATTCCCGCGAGAACTTTAAACGGCGGGCGCCTCACTCTCGAAATATCACATGCAGTGAAATTCGCAGGCAACATTTTGGGGACAACCAAATTTGTCTTGCCTGCCCCCATCATTCCTAACAACACACAAAAATATTCTCAAGACGGCATTGTTGCGTCACTGATCACTGCCCGCGTCCCGCCACCCACCGCCCGAACTCTTGTTTTTCAAAATGCAATGCAGATGACACCTATGACGTGCCCATCGACCCCAAGCAGCAGGACAAGGCGACCACCCTCAAGCTCTACAGCTTCCGGCGCCCCCACATGCGAGCCTTTCACTTCGCGTGGTTCGGTTTCTTCATGGCCTTCGTCTCCTGGTTCGCCTTCGCCCCCCTCATGAAGGAGATCAAGGCCGACCTCGGCATGACCAAGAACGAGGTGTACAACGCCAACATCTCGTCCGTGTCCTCCACTATTCTCTCGCGTTTCGTCGTGGGCCCCCTCTGCGACACCTTCGGCGCGCGCATCACCTCCAGCACCCTGCTGCTCATGGGCTGCATCCCGACCTTTTTCGCCGGCCTGGTGAACAGCGCCACCGACGTGGCCATCATCCGCTTCTTCATCGGCGTGATGGGCGCCACGTTCGTGTGCACCCAGTACTGGACGTCGCAGGTGTTCGCGAAGGAGTTCGTCGGCACGGCTAACGCCACCAGCGCAGGCTGGGGAAACCTGGGCGGCGGTGTCACGCAGGTGCGTCGTGAGCGGGAACAACAGCAGTCCCTTGGTTGTCGTAGAGGGTTGTAGTTTGATTAATTTGATGAACGTAATTCTGTAGAATCAAGTGCACGCTCACAACCAACTTGGTGTCATTGGATTTTGCTCGTTTGTTGACCCGATAGTCAACTCCCATCACCCTCGGTCATGAGTGCATGGCAGCAGCAACTCTCCTTTCGCTGGAAGCTCCAGATACGCAACAACCACCACTCACCTGTCGACAGAAGCACGATCTCAATGCTTGCTCTCTGGTGCCGTACAAGGTACGCTTTCAGTACCTCCTGTCATGACGGTTCCCTCTCGCTTTGCGACGCCCTCTTATCTCCTCGCCTGCCGTACATTTTCACAGATCTTCATGGTGGGAATCTGGAACGCCTTCAAGACCAGCTACGATAGCGAGACCGCGTGGCGTCTCTCGTTCCTCGTGCCGGCGGCCATCGTGTTCTGCGTCGCCATCGGTCAGGTGTTCCTCGCCGACGACTGCCCGAAGGGTAACTACAAGGAGCTCGAGGCGCACGGTGCCATGACCCGCAAGTCCTCCGCCGTTTCCTTCAAGAAGGTGACCTGACAGTTCTCAGTACGTTTGATTCGCAGAGGACGGGAAGGTGGTTTCATCAGGCCGTGCTATGTATACAAACGTTGTCTATGGGGGTCGATCGTACGGTAATAACCTCATGTGATAAACATGGGAGTCACAAGGACGTAAATTCAAGTGCATGACATATATCATTCGCACCGTCCCTTTTGCTGAAGCAGATCCTCTCACTCCCCGCCTGACGTACGCAACCATGTGCTTTATCGCCCTGTGCATGATGTCCACCGATCAGGGCTACTCGAACGTGAACTCATGGATCATGTTCGCCCAGTACGCCGCCTGCTTCGGCGTTGAGCTGACCGTCAACAACGTGGCGGCCAACTACTTCTCTGACGAGTTCGGTCTGTCGACCTCCAAGGCGGGTATGGTGGCGTCGTTGTTTGGGCTCATGAACCTCTTCGCTCGGTCGGTCGGCGGCATCTGGTCCGGTGAGTCTTTTCGGCCGAGGCAGGTACATGTGCCTCTGGTGCACCCCTGTCTGTTGCGCTTGTTCGTGTTTCTCATCGAGTGCTTTCCGTTCTGGGTGGGCCGCAGATCTGGCCGTTGCAAACAAGCGGAAAATACGTGTATTTCCCTGGAAAAGGATGTCGCTCTTCGCTTGGGGCGTCCGTATGTAGGTCTTGGAAGCCCACAAGAACGTTTGTCAGGCAACCCAGCTTTGGATATTGTAGTCCGGCTTTTGTTTTTTGTTGCAATGCGGTGGTTTCACGCGCCCAGAAGTGGGTTCACGTGCCCAAAGCACTTTCGACGACACATAGATTATTGTTTTCACCGGTAGATATCATGTGCCAGTGCGGGATGCCGGTTCGCTGACCCACGACACGAGTTCCGTATTTTTTCTGTAATTATATCTGCTTGACCAAGCACGTTTGCTTGTGTCACTTCCAACGTATTTTCTTGTTGGAAACAAATCCAATTGGCCCAACGCCTTCGCTGACCTCTTTCCCGCACCCAATTTCTTATCGTGTGTGGCAGACTTCCTCTACCGCAAGTTCGGCGCGGGTGTTACCGGCATGCGGGGACGCTTCTTCGCCCAGTGGTCCGCCCTCGTGTGGGAAGGCTGCTTCCTCTTCCTCTTCACCTACATGAACACCCTTGGTGCGGCCATCCCCATCCTCATCCTCTTCTCCGTGGGCGTGCAGATGTCCGAGGGAACCTCGTACGGCATCGTGCCGTACATCGTCCCGGACGCGACGGGCGCGGTGTCGGGCATCGTGGGCGCCGGCGGCAACTTCGGCGCAGTGATGTGGGGTCTCATCTTCCGGTTCGGCCCCACCAGCGAGAGGTCGGTGTTCCGAATTATCGCGGCGATCGTGGTTGCCCTCTCGTGCACTACGCCGTTGATGAAGATCCGCGGGTACGCCTCGTGCTTCGGTGCGCCCAAGGGAGAGCCAGACTCCATCGCGGAGATCTAAGAGTCTTTCGTGGCCACCGTCCGTCCATGATGCAATGCACGGACCTCTCGCGATGAGTAATGATGGCACACAACGCGTTGGGGAACTGCTGGTGGCGTCGGAGCATTCTTGTCTTTGGGTTTACCGGCACTATTGATGGTATGACGGAGTCATGAATGGTAGATACGGTAACTTGTGAATAGGTATTGAAGGAGCGTGCTTGTCTGTTCCTTTTTGATCGTCAGCGAGTGAAAGTCGGGTTGGTTTTTATCAAATACGAAGAATAATATGGGCGTCGACGCCCATATATATGCATAACAGTCTCGTCATATACCTCTGGAACATAACACGTGTGCGCGCTTACAGCCGTCCCATGGCGTACCACGCTCGCGTTTTGTGGAGGACTAGCTAAATCGGGTCTAACGAGATATTATTAAGGTCTACCTCTGGTTTAAAGCCCGCGCGTTGCGAAAGTCGTCCATCTCACCCCATGTGAGTGCATGATAGCAACAAATATCCTTGTGCAGGGTGGTTGGTAGCCGAAAATTTTGTTTGAGCTCCGCATGTAGCAAATCTCAATAGGTGCTGTTGTCTACGAGGCTCCGATACGAGATCACATGTTGTTGGAAGGGGAGGTGACATTGCCTCAGTCATACCACGGAACGGGTGTCATTTTCTACCTCGTCCAAAATATGTTGTAATGACCAGTAGTAGCGCTCTGTCCTGGGGGAATCATAGTGGTATGCTTGACGGTAGTCTAGGAGTGAAGGTCATCCGTCTGTAGGGTTGTCAGCATCGCTTCCCGATAGCTGAGCGCTGGGCATCCACGCGTCGTTTTTTTATTTGGAAGGAGGATAAACTTGCGCGGATTTATATGACTTCCCATTCTTGCATCGTGCGGAGTTCTTTAGAGGGCACGCTTGTTTGGGAGCGTGCGTAGAGGAAGCAGCAGGAAGTAGTTCGCGGAGTGCGCCGCCGCATCTGCTTCTGCTCTGATACACATGAGGTACGAACGTGATACGATATACAGTAGTGTACTTCGTTCCCCCCTTCGACTGTGATGAAGAGACGGCCATTTTTTTTTTTTCGAGGACGCGTACTACTGATACTGAACGTACACTCGTGTTCAAAACAAAGAGAGGTCGGTGATAAAATAATAAAATAATAGTGTGTGTTGGTTTGATGTTTTTGATCATATGCTCAGGGACAAAAGTAGCAGCAGTGAAGCAAAGAATTTCATGACGTGTATTCGAACGTGCGTTGTCACAATCTACGGGAAGATTTGGGTTGCCCGAGGGTGTCAGGACCGCAGACATGTGGCAGAGGGAGAAACCAGAAACTGATCGTTAACTCACCAAGCTTTTTGAATAGAAGTCTCTCCAAGCAGTCTTAAGCAGCAGCAGGCACGAAAGCGGAATCTCGTTCTTGCGATTGCTGTCCACTAGCTGCAGGAGGTTTGCATACACATTCTAGCAGCACGCAAAGTGCACCCCACGAGACCCCAGAGCGAGGAGACGCGGCCGAAAGCCTTTCGTCGGTACACAGCTGTACGTCTTCAGCGCTCGCCCCTTGCGTATCGGAAGATGGGTGCCGCTCGCAATTTTCTATGCTCGTGTGATGTCGTTGTGCAAAAGGATGCCTACAGCCGGTCGCTGTTGCTTCTGGTTGCACGGTGAAGCGATAACACGCCCTTCTTTTCTGTTGGATGTGCGCGATAAGTAGGTGTGATGTGAAGCGTTTGCAATCATCGTGGGTGTGTGCCCTCTCCCACACGTGTACCAGTGCGTGTGGGGAGAAAAATAAGTGGCATGTACTTTGGGCCTTTGGGTATTTAATCGTCTGCGTGATGAGGGACGTGCGTACAGCGTACAGCAGCATCTCCGTAGAAGCTCTCGTGAGAACACAAAATGTGGATGGCTTTTTTGACGACGGTTCATGATGTCATCCAAAGAATGTGAGCTCAAACTTCAGTGGCACATTGACCGTAGTTGGGCGTGATTTTTTTTTCCTCCGGCTTCATGAGCAGTACAGCACCAGATCGTTTGTCGAGTGCCCGAGCTCACACCACAGGCAGCCACAATTTCTTTCATCACACATCGCAGCTCCCAAGCTTCCTATCCCCCAGCGATGTCGGACTGGAAGAAATGTGAGAGGAAGATGTGGCAGCGATAAAAATAAGTTTGCTTTTGCAGAAAGGTCACCTACAGCAGCAGCAGCAGCAACGTCATCGTTTTTTGTTCTACTGCTGTACAATGTACAGCTTCCCCGTGACTTTTCCCGCTCTCTGCTGTGGTCGTCTGATCTTGAAATGCTGTCCCTTGTGGGGCGTACCCCGGAACTGCGCGCACAGTGAAACCCGTCCCACCCCACCGTAGTCGGAGAGGCACAACTTTTCTGGTGCATCACAACTTGTGCATCATCATCATCTCTCCAAAAAAGTTGTTCCTGCCTCTGCCTAGAAATTGTTGGGGGAAGATCGGATCCGAACTCCTGTGTTGCAAGCCCTGCTTGTGAAACGTTGTTGGCGAAACAGCATTTTGGTGTAGACCGCTCTGGCCTCTTGGTGGGCTAGCGTGTTCTCGCGCCACATATTGGTGACGACGTGGTGATAGCCGCTCTGCGGTACTGACTGTAGCTTTTTTGCCACGTACCTCCTGCTCTCAGTACGCATGTATATGTATGCATACATACATGTAGTCTACACATGTATATGCATACATGTAGTCTACACCGTACAGCAGTAGTAGTCTATTGTAAATATATACCGTGTGCAATAGGGGTATCATTAACGACCAGTAAGAAGGGCGTATACAAACAAACACAGCGTCGTCTGCGGTGAACTTGGGGCTGGTTCTCATGCTTAGGACGATGCCCCCCCACACGCCTTGGATGTATCGGAGGGCATACCGGTGTGTTTGAGCCACTGCTGTTGTAGGAGGGGTGTTTTTGTAAGGTTATGTGAAAGGAGGGACGCGACTTGCCGTAGGGGGGCTGCCACCTGTGCAAAGAAGGATATAATACCCGACAATATTAATTATAAGAATATAATAATGTGTTTGATTTAATTGCTTGTTTTGGGGTTTGGGGAGTACATATTAACGAAGAGCCAAAAAATCAAAATCCAAATGGGCACAAAATCAAAATCAAAATGCGTTGCGTGGAAAACTGAAAAAAGAGGGTCGTGTAGACTATGTTAAAGAAGATAGGAGACAGATGAGACACGTTTCCAACTTTGCACATACATGGAGGCAAGAACATTTTGGCCGGCGCCCTAAGCGGCCTACCGAGCTTCGTATTATGTACTGGTGTGCAAGACTGTATGCATTCACAACAATAGAGTGCCGTGACGTTCGCGTCGTGATCTACAACTGGTTTCCTAGTGTGCGTGTCGATGTCATCAAAACGAGGAGCGTGTGGCATCAGACGTCGTTGGTCGAGCGGCAATTAATTCAAGAAAGGCTTGAGAAAGGCTTGATCAACAGCAAACGAGTGCTGTGTTTTTTTTTTGTGACTCCCAAATGCATTTGTGGATACGGTCAAATTGATACGTATGGTTGCGCATGGATTGCGACTACTGTACAACAGTTGCGCCGTGTTTCCCCATGCTCTGTGCCCAAGCTGCCGGCCCGTCTCTGCAGTTAAAAAAAGCGGGGCGAGCAGTCTGCCGTTGTTTGCGGTGATGACTACAATAGGTACTCTGTTGTGCACATCATCTCTTCTCTATGTCATGTGTGTATCGAGTAGGAGAAGTTCCGTCGAACTCACACAAGATGCACTATTATAGCGTGTACTAAAACAAGGCACTTCTTCTCTCCGAGATACTTTTTTTCCAACTGTGATCCGGGATGTGCGCGTACTTAATTGCGCGAGAGTTTTTTTCCATTTTTGTAATATCATGTTATCTGAACATCAATCTTTGGTTACGCCTTTCGGTACAAGACTGGACGCGCCAGCCGGGGTTACACCTAGCAGTAGGAAGTAGAATAATTTCCGCGTTCCTTGTGCGGTCCTCGCGTTGATGATTTTCGCGATAAGGATTCAGCCAGCCATTGCTTTCCCTCGTCGCGACCGTCAAGTCGAATTGTTGCGTACGCACGAATTTCGCTCTCCACGTTTGACACGTTGTGAGAAAAATCCCAGTACGTGTAAAAAACTGCAGCGGGATTCGAACCTACGTCCAGATTTCATGTCAGGTTGTGAGACTACATGAACACGCCTGTTCTTGTGTTGTGTGACCGATCTGGTATACGGGGGTTAGTGGAAGTGCCGGCAAGGCATGTGGTGCTACAGTATGTACACTTTCCATGATTCGAAGTCCACTTGTTTCCGTTGTCTTCACATTATATCGGTTCCGGTCTCACCTCAGTACCTCCTAACATTCGTACTCCGTCCGGCTGACGCGGGCGCCCGCCTTGGGTTCGCTTGAACGTGTGTATTGCCTCGAGGAACGGCGCGGTGCGAAAACACAGAAATTTGTGACTGTTGTTCTTGTCCTTTGACAAGTAAACTTTCCTCTCCACCTTATTCTGCGAATGTTTGTTTCAAACAGACGACAGCTATGACGTGCCCATCGACCCCAAGCAGCAGGACAAGGCCACCATGTTCAAGCTCTACAGCTTCCGGCGCCCCCACATGCGAGCCTTCCATTTCGCGTGGTTCGGTTTCTTCATGGCCTTCGTCTCCTGGTTCGCCTTCGCCCCGCTCATGAAGGAGATCAAGGCCGACCTCGGTATGACCAAGCTCGAGGTGTACAACGCCAACATCTCGTCCGTGTCCTCCACCGTGCTCTCGCGTTTCATCGTGGGCCCCCTCTGCGACACCTTCGGCGCGCGAATCATCTCCAGCACGCTGCTCATCATGGGGTGTATCCCGACCGCCTTCGCCGGCCTGGTGAACAGCGCCACCGACGTGGCCATCATCCGCTTCTTCATCGGCGTGATGGGCGCCACGTTCGTGTGCACGCAGTTCTGGTCCTCGCAGATCTTCGCGAAGGAGTTCGTCGGCACGGCTAACGCCACTACCGGGGGCTGGGGAAACCTGGGCGGCGGTGTCACGCAGGTGCGTCGGAGAAAAGAGAGGAAGGGAGCGAGAGAACAAAGTTGTTTCCAAAGGTGGCATCTAGACAATGTCGAATAGTTAACCAAGGGACAAACGGATCTCACTTTGTAGATACTCGGATCATCACACCTCTTGCAGTCCCCCCACCATCCCCCCCCCCATGCCACAGGTCCTACCCCCTCCCCCTCCATGGCCAAAAGGAGAACGTTACATCTAGCCCAAAAGCCCGCCGAACGTTTCACAGAATCCCATACCCGTTCTTGTGAGCTTGTTGGTTTGTCCATCAACCTCACCATCGGCACGTGTAAAGTCGTGTTTGTTTACTCCTCACAGCCCCCATTATCGTCCATCCCTCCTCGCCTCGTGTGATCTACGTAGATCTTAATGGTCGGAATCTGGAACGCCTTCAAGACTGGCTACGACAGCGAGACGGCGTGGCGTCTCTCGTTCCTCGTGCCGGCGGCCATCGTGTTCTGCGTTGCCGTGGGCCAGCTGTTCCTCGCCGATGACTGCCCGAAGGGTAACTACAAGGAGCTCGAGGCTCACGGTGCCATGACTCGCAAGTCCTCCGCCGTTTCCTTCAGAAAGGTGAATGAGGCGGTTTTGGTCCCGTGCCTATACCAGAGTTCAGTATGGTCGAGTTTGCTGGCAGAGCTGTAGTGTACCCCATCTTGGAGCGATGATTGGTGGTAGGGTGACTATTCAGCATCATGCGGAACGGTCTCTCTTGCATTCTTACCCGTTGCTGATGCTATCCATCATCTCTCACGTTTGCCCGTTCGCTTGCCCGTTCGCTTGCCCCCTTGCCTCCCCTTTCAATCGCCTCCCCATTCGCTGAGCAGGGATACCTGAACGTGAACTCATGGCTCATGTTCCTCCAGTACGCCGCCTGCTTCGGCGTTGAGCTGACCGTCAACAACGTGGCGGCCAACTACTTCTCGGACGAGTTCGACCTGTCTACCTCCAAGGCTGGTCTCGTGGCGTCGTTGTTCGGACTCATGAACCTCTTCGCCCGCTCTCTGGGTGGCATCTGGTCCGGTGAGTACGCAAGACACGCGACTGTATTGGCCGGTGCTGCTACGGTATTGGAGATGGTTGACTGCACACCGTCTGTGCCCTGTTCGGATGTATCGATCCCGTAGAGTGCGTTCCTGACCTGAAACATACGCGAAGCGTTGCAACGGCAAGTCACCACATGCGCATTACTTGGAACCTCGCTTTTTGTGTCGATATTGTACATGGTCGAAACAGGGTGAAGTGGCGCATCTTCCCACCACCAGACAAGTCGTGTCCAACTTGAGCACTCTCTTTTTCACCACTCCCCCCACGCCCCGTGCCCGCCCTGCGTCTCCCCCGGACAAATTACCCATCCCCGTGCAAAACGCCTACAACAACGACGACAGACTTCCTGTTCGCCAAGTTCGGCGGCGGCGTTACCGGCATGCGCGGACGCTTCTTCGCCCAGTGGACTGCCCTCCTTTGGGAAGGCTGCTTCCTCTTCCTCTTCACCTTCATGAACCAACTTGGTGCGGCCATCCCCGTCCTCATCCTCTTCTCCGTGGGCGTGCAGATGGCGGAGGGCACCTCGTACGGCATCGTGCCGTACATCGTGCCGGACGCGACGGGTGCGGTGTCGGGCATCGTGGGCGCCGGCGGTAACTTCGGCGCGGTGATGTGGGGTCTGATCTTCCGGTTCGCGGGCAGGAGCGAGAGGGCGGTGTTCCGAATCATCGCGGCGTTCGTGGTGGGCCTGTCATGCCTTTCCCCTTTCCTCAAGATCCGCGGGTACGCCACGTGCTTCACCGCTGCCCAGGGAGAGCCGGACTCGATCGCGGACATCTAAGACTCTTCTCGTGTCAAGATTGGTTGACGAAACGTTAGTCTGTTCGTGAGCCATGCGCACACGTCTTCCTCTGCTCGCTGTGTGTTGTAGCAGTCTGAGCGTAACCTACGGCGCTGATGTCCGCCTGTCTTGCGACCTCCAACTGGGGGATGATTGTAGTGGTGTGTTCTTTTTTTGGTATCTGTCCATAAGTAGATCAGTTTCGTCTTGTTTTTCGCGCACCGACGTGCAGGATGATGTGAAATGTGTGAATTTGGTGCCCTTGGAGAGTCGTCAAAAAAAAAATGATGACTGAGGGTTGTTGGAACTGTGTTTTAGTTTTCTTGGGTTTTGTTTCGACGTCCGATGACCCACAACAAATGCGTCAGACGCGGCCAGTGGGTGGGGTGTAGTCGTGCTGGAAGCGTTGTACTCGTGGCATATCGTACGCCAATAGCAGTAGCGCAACTCCACGAGCGTTGGGTTGCACAGCCGCCTATATCTATGCGTTTATTTTGCCTGGGTCATACTCTGATAATCTGCACGTAACATGCCGTGGAAGTCGGTCGGGAATGGAAGTCTCCGCATATCATATGCATGATTTTGTTTATTTTTTCTCTCTTGTACGCGCGGAGGATATAACAGACTCATGCCTGTTAGATCTAGTTAGCGCTCACCGTTAGGGGGAACTAGGGCTGATGGAGGGTGGTAAAGATCAGAAACAGAGTACCATAGGATTGAAAGGCGTTGGGGGAGAAATGACACATTTCCATTCCTTCTCTCATGGTAACATGCGAGAAGTTGAGTCACAGACTAAGGTCACAAGTTTCGTTGATGCGGGGTTGGGGGAGAGGAGGAGGGCGCACCGTACGATGCAGCACACGGGTTTCAATCTGCTTTTTGTCCTTAGCCACATGTCTGGTGTCGTGGAATGTTCCGTTGTTATTATAAACATGTAAAATATGGCCGGCTTGTTGGTACGTAGTGATAGGTTTGCTGGCTGCACCCATTGGAATGGCTGGACCTTGCTTACACCAAAATACAAAGGAGAATTTCAATCCATGCTCTAATTGCGGCTTGGTGGTGTTTCGACGGCGACGTGTTACAACAATGGTATAACAAATATCTAGTCTAGAGACGTGAAGATATTTGCATAATAATAATGCAACCGATTCTCGGCTCGTCCGAAAACGTGCTCTGCGGCGGCGGATGTGTCGTGGCTGTAGAGAGGGACGAAAAAAAAGCTTCAACGAGCTTATTGCACTTCATCTATCTGTCTTACCTCGCTTTCAACAAGAAACTGTGTGTGATGTGTGCCCGGGGTTGTGGCACACACACACGGACGGGAGTGCAGTCCCCGTGCAAGTGTCTTACCTCTGGCCCGGCCAACTTGAGCAATGAAGACTCACTACCGAGAATGCTGCTCAATCGCGCGGGCGTCGAGTGTATGGATGCCGGTTGAGTTGTGTGGGGCGCACGCTCCTTTTGTGACAGCAGCGTTTCGCTCTAAACCGTGCCCTGCTCTGTTTGATACCATCCTCGACCAGGAGATGAGGTGTTTGTGGCCGCCCATGGTGAACTGTCTGTCTGCTGTGTGCGACTGTTCGATGCATAGACTACATCATCACACGTCCGCTCGTCTTTAATTTAGATAAATTGAATTTTCTCGTTGGTTCCTAAGACATCCACCAAGCAAGCGTAGAATACCACCGCCGCCGTAACTCGGCCTCGTAAGGAACACACATTGACATGCATACAAAGTATAAAAGTGCTGGGTGTAGTCGACATATTATTTTACGTTGACTACAAACAACTACGTAGATCTACAGATATAATAACAATTTCGACTATTACCACAAAACAACAGCAACGTAGATCATGTATGTGCTGGGGATACTCTCTCTCACGACGCAACCTCCACGATCGCGGTGGTATGTACTGCTGTAGTACAGCAGCAATGCTACTGCACTTTGCTGAAATAATTGACGACCGCGGAGAAGCAGTAGCCCGTAAGTATGTCCTACTTCTCCCGCCATTTCTTTCCTAAATGGCGCACTTTCCTGTACACGACTCTCTCTACTGCTTATTTATCTTTGTGCTCTGTGTGCGCTCCGTGCGCACATCATGCACGATGTGATCACATTCCAGTGACGGAGCCCCCTGCCCACGGGTTCAGTTACGGAGCCCCGCCGCCGCTTGCGCTGCAACTGATCTGTCTCTGTGATCAATGTGTTTGTACAACTGCGTGTAGAGACGATAATGAAGTAGCAACCAGCGGAGCAGGAGGAGAGCCGATTACTTACAGAGAAGCACGAGCTACGGGTATGGCTGTAGAAGCCAATTCTGATGGAGAGTACGACTACTTAGAAGCTGAGGAGAGGGAGCAAGCCGCGGATGATGAGGTTATCTCGATCCTGGATGACAGCAGCATCGAAGAGCAACATGATCGCTATCAGGAGAAGGGGGAGGAGGAGGAGCGGCAGGATGAGGAGGAGGAGGAGGGGGAGGAAGAGTAAGCCCAAGCAATTGCTGTGTCTGTGGTGTGCGTTTCTGTGCTTTCTCGGAGCTCTCTTGCGCATCGGGCTGCGTACACCGAGTTTTTAAAAACTGTGTTCCTACAGTCTATTAAAAACTGTGTTCCTACAGTCTATTACAAGTATGGTACCGCGGATGCATCATACCGTTGCTCAAGATACCACACCCCCTGGAGAGATCTTCAAAGCCCGAGTACTCCACGAGGAAGAGGGTGCCGAAATCAAATGATACGCTGTCGGAAACATTTCGACGAGGCTGCTCCAGCGCCTCTATGTTCGGCGCCGTTACTGCTTGTCCTGCCGAGCAATCGAGCTCTGAAATTCGTTCGAGGGGGTATGATATCGGGTATAGTATCTTACGCGACCTTCGGAAGTTCTACAACTTTGTAGAATTTCTTGTACGGCGTACACCACTCGGTTCCACTCTCTTTTATGGCACTCAGATGGAGCGTACAGCAGCAGCGGCAGCAGCCTTTTTCGCGTCTTTGCGTGTTCTCCTTGTCTCCCTGCACGCTGAGCCACACCTACGACTGCTTCTCCTTGTCTCCCTGCACGCTGAGCCACACCTACGACTGCTCACAGATACGACTACCAAGACGCCGTAAACCGGTCCAGGCAGGAAGAGAGAGACGACGACGACAACCTCTCGGACATGTCCCAGGAATCCAACTACGAGTACGAGGTGTCTGATGGCGAAGCAGGGGTCTCGACGCAGGGCAAGGTGTGCTGCGCGTGCCTGGTGGCCGGGTTCCATTGAGACGAAGTCAGGTCGGATTTGTTCAATCGCGGCAGCGGCCTTTGCTTCTTCTCAGTTTTCTCTCCCTCTTGCGTATTTTCACTCTGTTCGGAAACACAGGGACCATTCACATGCTTATGTGATTGTCCCCATGGTCCCTACATTGCAGACCAGAGTGGTTATCAGTACAATAGTGTGCAAAGATTCTACAATATCTCGTTGTTTCTGCAGCACAAGTAACGATATCTCATTGTTTCTGATTGGACAACACTCTACCGTATTCTGAACCAACTCTTCCACAACACTGTTCAACCGGGTAAATCTCGCTACCAGCAACACGACAAGTTCCAACAACGGATGCACCAACTTTTTTTTTTTTTTTTGCTACGGACGGTGCAATACACACACACACATGTTCTACGAAAACCTCGGACCAGTCGCGTGGAGGTACGTTACACGGTTGCGTTGTTTGCTCTCCCACCGATATCCCGGATTCACACACGCGGGGTTAGTGGACGGGAGCCCGGATCCCTGTGGTATTCTCGTGGACCCCGCATGGGCTCCATGTTGGCCCGAACTGGTTGCAGAGGCCGAAAGACGGCGTCATTTGTGCATGCCTGGCCACCCCCGCATTCCTCGAACGCGGTTCTCTCGCCTCTTTGGCACGAGGCCCACTCTGCCTGGTCGGCGAAAGCCTGACTAACCGTGGTATGACACAAGATAACACACCCCCTGGACCAATTTTCAAAGCTCGATAACGCCACGACGAAGAGGATGCATAAATGAAATATTTTCGGAAAGCTCTCGTTGAGACAGCTTCAACGTCACCGTTTTCGACGCTGTGGCTCTTTCCGCTGTTGAGAAATCGAGATTTGAAAATCGGTCCAGGGGGTGTGTTATCTTGTGTCATTTACGGTACTCGACCCCTCCCGGCTTCGTGTAGGGGTATGGTGTGTTACGGTGGACGTTCTTGGTTTCGGCTGTCTTACTCTTGTGCCTGCGCACTACTACTACTACAGCAACGTGTCTCGCGAACGAAGACGGCCGAAGCTGCAGCGAGGCGAGGAGTCTTGGTCTAAAATCCCACCGCAAAACTAAGAGGCGTGTGCGTGCCAAAGACGAGTACCGCGCCTATTGGTCGTCTCTCCAAGGGGTAGGAACGAGTATGTCCCCTCCCCCCTTCTCCGGTCGGTGCAAATGACGCCTTCCCAGGACTTAGCGGAAGCTGATGCCGGCGCGTTCGTGGAGGAATCGGACGGCATGTTCGCCAGGGTCGAGACCCCGTCGACGCACCTCGTGCGCCTGTGGATCGGCGTCAAGCCGTGGCGGCTGTACGAGGGCCTCGGGTCTAGGACCGTTGAGGCTCTCGGTCTGGATCCGTTGAAAGGGGTCATGGTGCGTGAGCAGTCTAGTTTTTTTTGTTCATGTGTTGGACGCAACACGTCCGTTACTTGTGTTTTGTTTTTTGCATCGAGGGCGGGAAGCGGCTTTTTGTGGTGCGCGCGTGTGTTTCCTGATTTGCTGTCTTGTGCGCCTGGCACTTTTCGCCACATGAAATTTTAGGCCATGATGTTTGCTGCTACGACGTGCTGTGCCATGATTTTTTCTGCTACTGCTCTACGGTATCCAGCTTATCATGATAGGTGTGCGTTCCCCTGCTTTTGCTAACAGTGATGCTTAGCTTGTTTTTGGTCCGATTTTTTGTTTACGGTGCTTTGCTTTTTGAGGCGTCACTTGAGGTGGTATGCATATGTGCGGCTGCACGATCGGCCTCCAATCACCGTGCTACTTACCACTGTCGCCTTCCTCTCCGTCGTCATGATCGTCGTCGTCGTCGGCTGTCCATTTTGAGTGCTGCTTCGTTGCGTGCTGCGCGATGGGGAGCTTGGTTTCGTTACAGCAACGTAGCCCAGAGCCTGTCCGCGACATAGTATACCGTAGGTGACAGTTGGTATCACTTACACCCCCTGGACCGATTGTCAAAAGCTCGACTACTCCACAGCAGAAAGAATGGCGGTGCCGAAAATGGCGCCATTGGAATAATCTCATGGAGAGCTTTCCGAACACGCATCGGTTGGTTTCTCCATCCCCATTCGTGGGTTGAGTTGTCGAGCTTTGACAATCGGTCCAGGGGGTGTGATATACTGTGCGACCTACCTTAGGGTACAGCAGCTTTCGTGTAGCGGTGCCTGTGTGTCCTGCGCGTGATTGCCTCCGTTCCCATCCTCCAATCCCACCCGCTGATGCCCCCGGGCGACCCACACGCACCCCACCCGCCCTTATTTCTTCTTCTGTGGGAACTGTGGTGCTCTTTCGTGCACGTTATGCTGGGAACGGACCAGTACTACACCTTTTCCAGCCCCAGGCGGCCCATACGCTCCCCCCCCCCTCCCTGATTTCTGAACTGTGGTGCTCTTGTGTGCAGGTGATGCTGACAACGGACCAGTACTACACTCTCTCCAACAAGTGTCCTGGTGTCAGGTGGTTGAGGCAGGTGGCCCCCGAAAAGATGCACACGGCGGCCAAGTGCAGCGACGGAAGGTGAGACGTAGCGCGACAGGTTGCCTTGCAGTAGTAGATGGTATTAACCGCAAGGAAGTGGGCAGTTGGCAGAAAGTGGCGGAAGCTAGGCGTGTGCTGCTTGAAGCCGTGTTGATTGTTGGGTTTGCAGGAGATCGGTCGGCGTTGGCAAGGGCCCCGAGTTCCCAAGAAGACCCCCCAACTACAAAGTATGGTCCATGGTCTAACATCTACGGCATGCAAAACATAAGAGTACGCCCCACCCAACCTGTAGTTGCCACCGGTTCGGTTCTCTGCTTTACCCGGCTTCTAGCGCCACGGTTGCTTGTCTACTTGTTGGGCATAGGTTCTGGAGGCAATGGACATCACGGATGAGGCGTCGGGACTCGTGCACGCTCCTGTCGACCGTGCGGTCTTGACGCTTGCGGTACTCTCGGCCTTTTTTGTTTAGAAATCTGCGCACGGCAGCTACCCGAAATCCTCCCTCCCCCGACGCCGCTTTTCTTGTCCGCCCGTCGGATCGACGCGCCTGGGGGTCCGCACACCGACGTCACCACCAACACCACTACCACCATGACCACCACTACCACCACTACCACCGCCACCACTGCCACTACTACCACCATGACCACCACCACCACCACTACCACCACTACCACCGCCACCATTGCCGCTACCACCAACATCATTTGTCACCATCGCCACCATGGCCACCACTATCCCCACCACCACCACCACCAACACCACCACCATGATCGTCACCAACGACAAACAGCGTCGGAGACACGTTCTCGCTTCAGTGGATGCTCCGCAAGAGGCTCGAGGAAGAGCTGAAGCAGAACTGGCCCCCCAGGTCCCGCTACGCCGACGAAGAGGAAGCCGAAGGTGATCCTCACCGCGCCGGCGGCGGCGGTCCCGGGCAGGCGGGTGGGGGTGCGGGGGCGGGGGACCCTAACATGGAGGCAACTCGCTTGGCGATTGAGGCGATTTGCGACTGCACCGCGGTGTCGGCGGAGCTCGCCGCCTATGCCCTGCAGTTTTCCCAGGTATTTTGCCTTAGTATAATAGGTAGATCCTGTTTGTCGGGTAGTTGTTAGGGTCGTCGTCACCGGGTGCTGGCCGTTTGGGGGAGGCGGGTGTGTGGGGGGGGAGGCATTCAAAAGCATATGCGAAGGTGGTTGCCGTTGACGGGCTTCATGACGTGCCTTTTTTTTCTTCCATCAGCATGTTCCAACGCTGTTGTTGAGCCTAATCACTTTCGTATAGTACGGAAGAGCATACCTCCTGGTAGGCGTGATTGAACGTGCTCGATTTTTGGGCTTGCCCTCTTTGCTAGATGGATTGTGCTTATTTTGCTTTGTCCGCCTCAGCAGTACTGGTACACGTGAGTGAACGGACTCACGCTGGGTCACCGTGCTTGCGCCACCTCCCCGTCTTTGGTGTCTTCTTGTTACGCGGCACACATGCGGTCCGTTGACTGCGGCGCAATGCGTTTTGAGATCTGCGACTCCTGCCTGCAATACTCCAGCTTCGCTGGTGTCGCGTGCCATATTGCCGGCCGGCGTCGCCTCTCCCCCCCCCCCCCCCACCC